AAAAATTGTGCATTTTTTCACAAAACTTCCATAGTATGGAAATATGAAATGTTTTATCTTTCCATACTATATAGTAGTCCAAAAACAATATGCGAGCCAAGTAGTATGTCCGAATTCATAGAATTCGATAAACAATATTTAAGCTGCGGTCACACTTGACTTTTCTTCCCATAGACTTCCATTCATACGCACTCGAATGCGTCGGACCGGAAACGCAGGGTCATTTGTTAGGTTTTGCAGTTCGCTGCGGTGCAAAGTTCAAGCTTGGTGAACTTTGACCTGCGATATCACATCACTTGACTGCGTGAGACCAATCGAGGATCAAAACATGACCTCTGGACAGAATCCTAAAACATGGAGCAATCGCTCGCTTTTTTAATGTCTAATAATCTTGTTTAATCCCGCCCCATTTCGCAGCACCGTACGACAGAATTTCGCACACATAAACTCTAGTGTGACCGCAGCTTTAGAAAAACCTGGATGACTTCCGGCGAGATTCTGAAGTGTGCATTCGATGACACAGGCTGCATACGAAACAACCTATACTACTCAGTAGGTACTGAGGTAGTGCATTTGAATTTAAGTGTATAACTTGGCTGTTAAGCTGCACACAATATTTGGACACGACTGTTGGAATACGCCCCCTGTGGCAGTCGCACATAATTTTCAGTGTTGTCATGCAGCATGGGATAGAAGCTGATTCTTGTGGTGTCCGAAATAAAGTTATTACTCGTTTATGAATAGAAATGTTTTTTTAATAGAGACTTTTTCTGATTCAAAAATAACAAACAAACCTATTTCTCATCTTGACCTCCTTGGACAACACTTGAATACATCACATCCAGTCAGCTGATCGCATGCAGTCTAGTCGCAGAATTTAAAATATTTCAACGGATCCGCGCCTCACATTGGATCCGAATTTTCCTCATACGGAGATAATCGGATCTCCAAGCAGCTTCCGGAATACTCTCATTTAGAAGTTAATGGCATGTCGTATGTCTTTTGTTGTATGCAGTGGAAAGGCGGCTTTAGAAAAGTCCATTCTAAATCCATATGAATGTGAATAGTATGAATAGAACTTGGACGTACTACATCCACCATTTTGTCATGATCATGTGACCTACCCATTCATGAATTATCTCCAGGGGTATAATCGGATAGTGTAGCGTGCATCAGCAACACACTTCAGAATCTCGCCAGAAGTAGTAGGTTATTCGGGTACTTCCCACACTTATTTTCGAATTCTTTAAATTCGGACATACTACTCCGCTCGCATACTTTTTTTAACATACTATATAGTATGGAGCTATGTGATTTTGAACGCAGCCTCAGCCATTTCCAATGTGTTGTTTTTCCAGGTGTTGTGAGAAAATGCAGCTCGTTTTCGTAAATTGTTTGTGCTGTGAGAAAATGCGCGTTTTATTAAAGAACTATATGCACAGCTCAGCTAGTGTTTTTCAGCCAATGATGGACTTCTGGTGAAAGGATTATGTGACTATTTCAAATTTCATGAGGTTCCTTTTACAGCATTGATGATGTAATGTGTTTAAAACACCTTCAGTTAAAAAGACGAAAGACACAGACTCCATCACTAGCAATAGGCTAGTGCAAAAGCTTCAATGAAAATACTGGTATTAAATTAATTTCCATATTTTAAAGACATGGCACAGAAAAATATAATTTAATGCAGTGCTTCTTGTTTGGCCTGATACCCATTTTATATTGTATCTCAGTCAGGAGGTGAAAAGTTTTTTTTTTTAAGGAAACCAGATCTTAAACACAACAGTTTTGTATGGGATGACAATTCACCGGAAGCCCTGGGGCTGGGTGACTGAAAAATCTCTTGGAGAATGCAACATATTTTTTTATTTGGCTATACATTATAAGGATTTGGCGCACATGTGCAAACATGGGCGTTTTTTGTAAAAAAAAAAAAAAAAATTCTTAAATTGCAGCACATTAAGCTCTTTCGGCCACCGTGGCAAAAATAAAATAAATCAGTTATTAGAAATGAGTTATTAAAGCTATTATGTTTAGAAATGTGTTTAAAATATTCTATTCATTAAATAGAAGTTGGAGAAAAATATACAGGAGGGCTGATAATTTAAGGTCTTATAAATTGGACTCATTTCATTCCTGGTATGAAAATAATTTTGGGGTACTTTAACTTTTTATAGGTCATATTCTGTTCATTTAAGTGTTTTGGAGCGCTGTGCATGTGTGTGTGTGTGTCTGGAATTAATTCAAGTTTTTATGCCTATGCAAGCTCTCTTTGTCTTTCCTCCAGTGACCCTGTTCAACTCGTTTGTGTGTTTGCATTTAAAAGTTTACCCAGAATGCCACTGTCTTGTTTATTTTACTTCCTGGCAGTGTCACATAGTGATTTATCACATGCTCTGACCAGTTCCTCAGCAGGCCACCCTTTAATGAATGTCATTATAGCTCAGAGTTGATCCATGTGCACTGCTGATTTGATCGTTTAGATTTAATAGACATCTTAACAAGAACTGAATGTACAATGTAAGTGTGTACTCTTATTTAACTTACATTGTGATGTCTAAATATCCACACAAGGATAGTAAAACCTGACAATTTTAACTAGCAATCTCCACATGGGAAATACATTAAAATACTGAATTATACTCAAATGGAGACAGTTATTAGTATCTTTTATGTTTCTGTAGTGTTTAATCTGTCTGTGAAGTTTAGGTTTAGGGGAAAATATTGTTAGGGCAATATTAAATATATGACAGGGGTGTGTGTGTGTTTGTGTGTGTGGTGTGTGTGTGTATGACAGCGCTTCGTTATTGAAGTGGTCTGCTGAGGTTTTAAATAAGAGGGCTTCACCATGTTCAGAGCTATTTTGGTTTAAATAGTGGCTCACTCATGGTAGACACTGTGTCTGAGAGAGAAAGGGTCTGGAGACACACTGACCTACCACACTGACTTGCCACTGACTTTGACACAGCGGATGCCCTTCCAGCTGCAACCCAACACTGGGAAACATCCATACACACTCATTCACACATACATATGGACCATTTAGCCAACCCAATTCACCTGCACTGGAGAACCTGGAGGAAACCCACACGGACACGGGGAGAACCTGCAAACTCCATACAGAAATGCCAACTGACCTAGCTGAAGCTCGAACCAGCAACCTTCTTGCTGTAAGGCGACAGCACAACCTACTGTGCCTCTGCGCTGCTTGTTATAGCTATTTGTTATGTTAATATCTACAAGCTAACAAGCTACAAAAAATAAAACAATTTACATTTAAAGGATAGATGGATTCATAACGCACAATGTCTTATTTCGATACTGATGAATGATTTTGAGAACATCTCTCTGCACTTCGGCTTCTAGTCAGTTTTTCTGTCTAATAAAATGCTCTCTAGCTCCTCCCTCCTCTTAAATGATTGATATATAAAAAGCCACTAAAGTGGAAACTGATCACTCATTCATACAGTTGAATATGGGTATGATGGGATTAAAAAACCAGGCAGACTGTGGCTTTTAAAAGTTGTAAAAGGCTGAGCTCGGTGGCTCTGACTGAGCTGTGATAGAAGAAACAAAACACTAGCTATTAAAAAGGGACCAACAGCTTGATATTTCCTGACCTGTTTTCCTGTTTCAAAGGAAATTGTATTAATGCAGGTTTTTCAGGAGATATTTCTAATTAAAATACTGTCTGTAAATACAGTAATCTTTACAGTAATCTGCATTTTTCTCAGCACTTTCACAGCATCTTAAAAGCACTCATCCAATAAAAAGAGCAATTCTTATTCTTACATTTAGGGATTTTTTAAAATAAAATAAATAATAATAATAACAACAACAACAACAATAATAATAATAATAATAGGCGACGCAGTGGCACAGTAGGTAGTGCTGTCGCCTCAAAGCAAGATGGTCGCTGGTTCGAGCCTCGGCTGGGTCAGTTGTTGTTTCTGTGTGGAGTCATGCTGTACAAGTTAATTGGGTAGGCTAAATTGTCCGTAGTGTATGAGTGTGTATGTTTCCCAGAGATGGGTTGCAACAGGAAGGGCATCCGCTGCATAAAACATGTGCTGGATAAGTTAAAAGTTCATTCTGCTGTGGCGAGCCCAGATTAATAAATAAAAATGATTATTATTATCATTATTATTATTATTATTATGGGTGGCATGGTGGCAAAGTGGGTAGCGCTGTCGCCTCACAGCAAGAAGGTCAGTGGTTCTAGCCTCAGCTGGATCAGTTGGTGTTTCTGTGTGGAGCATTCATGTGCGTTTCCTCCGGTTTCCCCCACAAGTCCAAAGACAAGCACAATAGGTGAATTGGGCAAAGTAAATTATGTGTGTAAATGAGTGTACATGGGTGTTTCCCAGTACTGGGATGCAGCAGGAAGGGCATCCGCTGTGCTGACACACATGCTGGATAAGTTTGGGGTTCATTGCTCTGTTTTGACTCCAGATTAATAAAAGGATGAAAAGAAAATGAATGAATTATTATTATTATTATTATTATTATTATTACTATTATTATTATTATTATTATTATTATTATTATTATATTCCTCTGTGTTCCCATGGGTTTCTTCTGGGTGCTCTGGTTCCCCCCACAGTCCAAAGACACAAAAGCAAATTGAAAAACCTAAATTGGCCGTTGTGTATGTGTGCGTATGAGTGTGTATGTGTGTTTCCCATACTGAGATGCAGCAGGAAGGGCATCAGCTGTGTAAATTGTATTATTAATTAAAATAAAAATGTCACCTTTTTCTAAACGAGTATGTTGTGTTGTGTCGTGTTGTGTCGTGTTGTGTTGTGTTGTGTTTTGTTGTGTCGTTTTGTGTCGTGTCGTGTCGTGTCGTGTCGTGTCGTGTTGTGTTGTGTTGAGTGGCACTATGGGTGGCACTTGTTCAGCCTACCTTCAGTAGTGAGTGAAAATGGTTGAAATAATTTCATCTAGGCTAAATAATTGAGGATGAATCACAGCAGTGTGCAGTTCGTTCTCTGACCGCTTTGTGTCGCACTTCACTCCAGGCACAAGTCATCAGCATAGTTCTCTCGGCCGCCGTACTCACAGAAAGCCTGTTGCAGAAAAACGTTTTCCGGTTGTTAATAACAACACACAAACGTTTTGATTTAGTGTTGGGTCTGTGTGTGATCATGGCAGAGTACACACATGTAAAATCCACCAAACTGGTCCTGAAAGGTTCAAACGATAAGTAAGGCGTTCGTTTTGTAACTGAGTTCAACTAAAGTGTAATACAATAATGTTTGACGTTGAGCTGTGTTTCTCCAGTTGATGTAAACAGACTTGCTGTCTACTGTTTGTGTAGGCTGATTATTTATTTTAAATAATGACCTGTGGTTTTCATATTATGCAGAAAGAAGAAAAAGAACAAAGACAAGAAGAGGAAACGAGATGATGGAGAAGACAAGCTGGATATTGTTGGTATGTTTGTCACTTTTCCCCTGAATCAAAACACAAAAGATAAACATATTTAATTGAGGTAACGTTAAAGTTGGTTTTATATTCGCACATTCATGACACGCTCAATAAATTCTTTACTGTGGTACTTTGAATTAGGGCTGCACAATAATGAGGTGAAATTGGTTTTATATTCACACATTCAGACTTTCTACTTAATAATATAGCTTCAAAAAAGTATTCTTTGCAAACTCAAATAGGGAAATCGTATTATGGGTCAACGACGATCAAATTACAGCATCGTTCACAGTCAGTTAAATATTGCTATTGAGGAAAAGTTGGTTATATACAGTTGAAGTCAGAATTATTAGCCCCCCTGAATTATTGCCCCTTTGTTTATTTTTTCCCCAATTTCTGTTTAACGGAGAGAACACATTTCTAAACATAATAGTTTGTTCTGTAGATTATCGAAAAAAATACATAGCTTAAAGGGGTTAATAATTTTGACCTAAAAATGAATTTTTTTAATTTAAAAACTGCTTTTATTCTTGCTGAAATAAAGCAAATAAGACTTACTCTAGAAGAAAAAAATATTATCAGACATATTGTGAAAATTTCCTTGTTCTTTTAAACATCATTTGGTAAATATTAAAAAAAGAAAAAAATGGTGGTTATAATAATTCTTTAGCTTTATTCGCATAAGTGACATATTCATTTATTTTGTTCGCATAAATAACTTATTCGTTAAGTAACAACATGTGACATGCTCCATTTATTGTTTGCAATGGTACTTTGAATATTCAGTCTGAAATCTCATGTAAGTATGACTTCAAAACAAAATTAGCACTATTTATTTGACTGAAAAATGTTGTACTTTGATAGTCATTGGCTGCTAATATGGTTTCACTATTTAGAATTTGCAAATAATACTTTTCTGAAATTATATTATTAAGGAGAAAGTCTGATTGTGTGAATAAAAAACCAACTTTACTTCAACAATATGTTAATGTTATATTGATTATAATAAAAAAAAGTCTGTTTGCGTAGAATTAAAAAAAACTACAACATTTATAGGAAATGCAATAGCTGATGATGCAAAATGATGCCATTCCATGCAGCTGTACACTATGGTACACACTGTAGTAAGCCTTCCTTTACTTGAAACCTCAGATTTGATTGTCTTAATTGCTTTTGTTTAGAGAGTTTGGAGTTATGGTATTATTATTATTGACACCTTACAGATGTTGATCTACCTTAAAGTTTGCTTGATTGTTTAGCATTTACACTTTACCATTGCACACACTTTGATTAATGTGCACAGACTTTCTGTGTGTGCTTTGTACATTCTTCCATGCTTTGTCAGACCGATATTTGAAAGTTAAGCCATGGTTAACAATATCCACTTGTAAGGTGGTGACGTGTTGGTGACATATGAAATACTGTTTGCCTCAGTGCCGTCACTCATTTAAATTGAGAAAATATTCCTTTATGATCATATATCACACATTAAAGTGAATTGTATGGTGTACACAATAATCTCTGGACTTGCTGCATCACAAATACCAAAATTGTAACAACTTATAAAAAATTAATCACTTTCTGGCTATCGGATATTAGGGATGGACATATATTAAGATCGTGATTTTCGAAAATATTACAGCGCTTTTGTAGACGTTTATTAATAACATTTGATGAGTCTCCCCATACAGTTTAATAAAGCGCTTGGACCCAGAAGCCGCTTCGCATGACGTCACACTTAACAAGCGGATAGGGAGCGTGTCATCAGTTGTAACTGCAAATAAATAATTGCAAATATATAACCAGTTTTACCTTAATCTACACAAAGTTTTAACATCGATGTTGCAATGTGTGCATTCGCAATAGTCACATTGCAGGAGTGTTGAGTTGGCATTATAATTGTTGATCAGCAATGAAGAACGCACAGTGTTTACATTTTACATTACATTTGATTCAATAATTTAGGCCGGACAAAATAGCGATATGCAAGAGATGGTGCAATTCTAAGAAATATAAGAATTCTAAGAAATATTATAGCTTATAAATTTTTGATGCATTTTTCCCTTTTCATTTACAAATATCATGATATATTGTGGATGGTTTTCTTGTGATATATCGCTGATATCGTGATCTATCATCATCACTGGCAAAATATCCCATCGTATTACTGTAACTGAATATCTGACTGCTTATTTCATTTTTATCATAGCTCTATCTTATTTATTCTTGCAATGTCTTTAATTCACGTGTCTACAAGATTATTCGAATCAATCTAAATTAACGATTTCATTCCAAATTGGTCTGTTGAAATTGTGGTCATATCACTATAAAAATCGCAGTAAAATAAAATATTGCAATGTCAGATTTTTCCAATATCATCCAGCCGTTCTTTGAATATTCGGTGTGAAATTACATGTTAGTGTGACTTCAAAACAACATTAGGACTGTTGTACTCGCTGTGAACAATTTTGTACTTTTATAGTCATTAGCTGCTACTTTTTAGAAGTTGCAAAGACTACTTCTCTGAAATTATATTATTAAGGAGAAAGTTTGAATGTGTGAATATAAAACTAACTTTACCTCAATATTTATTGACTAGAGCAGTGTTTTGTGATTGCTGTATGATTTACTTTGTTGTTGGTGCAGACTTGAGCTTGCGTGTTTCTGAATGCCTCTTTAGGAGGGTGGTGGACGGTGAAGTGCTTCGGTGAGGTCACAGGCACAGTGGCCATTGAGATGCACAAAAACTCCTACATTCATGCACTGGACACTGGACTCTTCACTGTAGGATCTCCACATAAAGGTGATGGTTCTGCTTGCTTTATGGTCTCTGCTGTTGCTTTACGTTATGTTATCTCTTAAAAAAGACATATTTTGATTTTGTGTAGTTTTAAAATAGCAGTCATGATAGAAATAAAATATTATATAATTAAAAAAAGAAACCATTTTGAAGTGCCATGTAAAAACGTCTTGAGTAGGATTTGGGGATGGTGAATAAACCACAATGGGGAAGGGTCTGTTGTCGTTTACATATTAATCTGCTGAAAAATAAATAATTAGCGTACTAAATTAATATGTCACAGATTTTGCAATGATATCAGTATCAAATTAAAGGCATAGTTCACCCGAAATCGAACATTTCCTCACTGTTTACTTACACTTAAGTAGTTTTAAATCTTTATTTCTTTTTTCTGTTGAACACAGAAGTAGATCATTTGAACAATGTTGGAAACCGGCAACCACTGACATCCATAGTAAAAAACAAAAAATACAATTAAATCCAATGGTTGTTTTCTCAGAACATTTTCTTTTGTAGTCAACAGAAGAAATAAATCCATAAAGTACTAGGAAAAAGTGGAGCATGAGTAAATGATGGCAGAATTTTACATTTTTAGGTGAACCATCCCTTTAATACTGCTAAGTGTTATATTGTTTTTTTAACTGATAAATATAGAATTACAGCAAACACATCACATTTAGTCAAACTGAAAGCTGATAATTTTTCAAGGTGCAATCTTTATTTTTTTTATTAATTCAAAATCGGTTACAGACTGTGTGTCCATCATATATCGCAAGAGTGTTCAATTGAGACTTTTTTTCTCACACAAGTTGTAGGTTAGTTGACCAACTTGGTAAGTTTGAAAGAAAATTTTTGAATTTGAATCGATAAGCATGGCATCAGAAATAGCTTTGCCAAATGTGTGATTGTATTCCTTCATCTGCAAAGTAATATCTTTTTTCATGTTTTTGAAACCCCTTGTTTTCTTTGCAGTGTTGCATGTCAAAATGTAGGATAATGATTTTTTATATACAAAAGCCCCTTATAACTAACTAACAAACATAATAAATGAACTTCAAACAGGCTTTCATATTAAAATAATATCATGGCCCCTTAAAAAATTCTGTACAATAATTCAATACAAGTATATAATAAAATGATCTGTTTGCGTAGGATTAAAAAACTACAACATTTGTACACTACAGTACACGCATAATAATAATAATAAATTTATATATATATATAGTTCAAATCAGAATTATTAAACCCCCTTTGAATTTTTTTATATTTCCAAATGATGTTTAACATACCAAGGACATTTTCACAGCATGTCTGATAATATTTTTTCTTCTTATTTGTTTTATTTCGGCTAGAATAAAAGCAGTTTCTATTTTTTTTTTTTTTTTTAAACATTTCAAGGTCAAAATTATTGGCCCCTGGATTTTTTTCGATAGTCTACAGAAAAAAAACATCATTGTACAATAACTCACCTAATTACCCTAACCTGCCTATTTAACCTAATTAACCTAGCTGCGCCTGTAAATGTCACTTTAATCTGTAGTCTGAAAGTGTCTTGAAAAATATCTAGTAAAATATTATTTACTGTCATCATAGCAAACATTAAAAAATTAGTTATTAGAAATGAGTTATTAAAACTATTATGTTTAGAAATGTGTTGAACAAATCTTCTCTCCGTTAAACAGAAATTGGGAAAAAAACAAACAGGGAGGCTAATAATTGAGAGGGGCTATTAATTCTGACTTCAACTGTATATATAAGATCGCTGGTTCGAGCCTCGACTGGGTCAGTTGGCATTTCTGTGTGGAGTTTGCATGTTCCTTTTATGTTTGCGTGGATTTCCTCCAGGTGCTCTGGTTTCCCCCATAAATCCAAAGACATGCGCTGTAGGTAAATTGGGTCAGCTTAATTGTCCGTAATGTATGGTGTATGTTTTGGGTTGAGCTTTGGGTTAACGACCCACCTCATAAAAATTAAATGTTACAAACCTGTGACAAACCACCAACATAATGCGGCTAAATATCAACTTCGATATAAATGACCATGGGAGTAAATAAGTATATAAATGGATTGTTAAAAAATTGCAATTATTCTCGATACCCAATGATATGAAACATATCGTAATAATTTTTTTTTGCTGTATATCGCCCAACCCTACCTTCTAGTTTATAAACTAAGATATTCAATACTGGAGTCTGAAAGCCCTGCCTTCTCTAATATATAATTAGAATCATTATGAGATGTTTTCGCCTTGTTTGCTCAAACACACATTTATTTATATTTATTTTATTATCCTTTTTTTTTTTTTTTTGATTTACAGCAGCTCAGGTACATGCATGCATATCAACACAAAATGGAAAGAAATGTACACATAAGAAAAAAAAATAATAATATAACAATATTTACAAATAAGTAGCTTTATTGGTTGCAAAAACAATAAATGATAAGTATACTAAGCAAGGTATACCGCGGTTTGAAAAGGTCAAAGTTTTAAAACCGTAAAGGTTTTCTGCAATATCGTTCCTAAGGTGTGTACCATTTTATCAAGATGATGTTTTAAATTGTGAATTGTTTCGTTTTTTTTTTTTTTTTTTTTAACAAATGAAGACAGCTGAAGTCAATGATTCATTTAGCCGGACAATTTTACTCTTCCAAAATATGTTAAATGTTTCTCAAAATAAAATATATTGTGTTCAAAAGTTCTTGTTTTTTACCCAGACATTTAAAAAATTATATATTTTAGAGCAGGAAATACAATACTGTGAAACCGTGATATTTTTTTATCCAAGGTTATCATACCGTCAGAATCTTATATCGGCCCATGCCTAAAGGGTACTGTATTATTTATGACCTTTAGAAAAAGGGTAGCTACTGATGTGATCCAACTTTTTAAGTTGGATATGCCCTGAGGAAAAAAATAAAGTTGCAACAGTTTAGTACAGGAAGTGTAAATAACTATTTATTTATCTTCATTCTAATATGTCTGGGTATTTAAATTGCTCTTTTTATATTTGGAACCTGCATGATTTATACTCAAAACAGCATAGATTTGTGTACAAGGACACACTGTCACACAGTTAGTGTTTTTTTCATAAAGGCTGTGATTTAAAATCCATTTTACAAGATATACTTGCAGCATCTTCAGGCAAGAGACAAATGTTTCTGTGCAATTATACCGCGTTGTATTTTTCCTGCCATGCCATGTGGCTTTTATATTGCCTTTTAAATTGAAAAGGTCCCTCTAATAGCGCGGAACAAATAAGTCTCAGAAGTCGAGATGGCGAGGTGCTGCTTTTTTCTCTGTTGCTCTCAATGTGGAGGGATTTAAAAACCTGAATAATGTTATGGATCGTCAGTCGCTATTACTGCCGCCGTTCATGCAAGCCTCAGAGCAATTTCATAGTTCAGTCACCAGGAGGAGTTGTTTACGATTGTTTTTCTTTCCAGCTTCATTTTCTACTTTCCACTGACCATTGGCTGTACAGATCTGAAAGTACAAAGGAATTTGTGCACACTCCCCTTAAATCAATTTCATTTAGTGCCTGACACCTGAAATTAGTAATGAACGACTGTAACTGTTGTTGACAGTATGTTAGATAATTCATGAGATTATCCTGTCAGCAGCAGATTGAACAGAATATCAGCTTTCCGGTTTACTCTTCATTTTTTCAGCCATTCCCAGTTGACTCTCCTATTAAAATACTGCAAGATTCAGCAGTTTATAAAGTTATTTTCAACAAGTTTAGTAGTTTTTTCTGATAAAACAACACAATGACATTTCTGTCATCTTTTAGCAAATGCTCGTTGTGAAAACTTTGAAGATTTATTAATTTCTCAAATGTGTCATAGCGTCTGAATAAGTTTGTGTAATGGGAAATGGCAGCCAACGAATGACTAACATTCAAACACTCAGTAAGACATAATTTTATGAAGAATCCTAAAATGTATTGCAATTTCTCCTAAAGATATTAAGCAGCCCAATGGTTTTAAAGTTAAGTTTTAGTCAGTAATATGTTGTAAACACCGAAATGGTGTATTAGAATGACTTCTGAAGGAGGGATGTATGCTGAAGACGAGTAATTGCTTTGCACTATAATAATAAATCACAATTAAATTAGATTTTTTTTTATTCTAAATTGTAATATTTCACATTATTACTATTAAACTTTTGTGTTGTATGCATTTTATTACAAATAACATGTTATGTGCAGTTTTTAAAAAAATGTCTTGTGTTTTCAGAGGATGAAGGTCCAGATCCTCCTGAACAGTTCACAGCTATAAAACTCTCAGATTCCAGGTAAAGATTACAACTATACACATAATAGGTTTGCACAATATATAATAAATATTACAGGATGTATGATGTCAGTCAGGGACTGATCAGACTCCACAGTTGTAATTTGTGAATTACTTGCAAAGTTTACCCATAAAAGAGTGTTTATCAATTGTGCAGGTTTTAAAGGGCACCTATTTTACCCCTTTTTCGAGATTTAGGATAAGTCTTTTTTGTCTCCAGAATGTGTCTGGAAAGTTTCAGCTCAAAATACCCATTAGATTATTTATTATACCTTTCTGTATATTGAAAATTTGAGGTGTTAAGACTTTGTAGCTGTTTTTGTTGCCTGTGCCTTTAATGCTAATAAGCTAGTTCTCCATGTCCACTGTTCCCACAAGCATGTCACAGCCATAGAGATTGCTCACCTTCACGTAGATAAACAGCAAAGTGACAGACAAGTATGAAGCAGGTCACCCTTACAACAGTAAGAATTTTCACAACGGCTATTTGATGCATTTGTTGTGTAGTTAATTCAAGCTTTTCTGCAACGATGAGACACAAACAATGTTGTTATTAAGTCACACACACGTGCATGCGCCTTGCACTGTTTTTGCACGGCAAATGAGACAGGATACACTTTATTATACACTACTCTATGGATATCCATAATATTAATGTCCAAAATAAACCTGAAGTCCAACAACTGAGATTAAAATGTCTTTTTTATATTTGCACTGACACTGTGGCTGTGGTGATGAATTTCATAGTGATTATACTGTCTTTATATGCACTGTTTTAAACTTGTTAACTTATTCTTGAGGTGCAGATGATCACAGAGAGCAAAATACATCATCTTTTAATCCTAGTTGCATTGCACATGTCCTGTCTTGTTGATATGATTATACGCATTACTTTGAAGACATATTAATACGCATTAATAACATATTAATACATATTCATATTTTTTTATTTTGTAATGTTATTTAATTATTTAATATTTGTACCTGAATCCTGTTAGAAACCTCAGAGAAACATTAAGCACTGATAATGCATATTTTTTTAAATATCTCTGTTCTGTTGTTTTTTTTCTATGCTTGTTATTGCATTTATTAAATGTTATGCAGATATACTATTCCTCTAAATCAGCTCAATAATTCTTAAATAATGAATTCTTACTAAATAAAGCTATTAAAGTTATTGTCACCTTAAAAACGCCTAATCATACATACTGTACCATTTAATTATTTTAAGTCAGTGGTCTTAAACTCAATTCCTGGAGGGCTGCAGCTCTACTTAGTTTATCTACAACCACCTCCAACTCAAACCTGCTTCATAGTCTCTAGTAGTCTTGAACACCTTTGGATCAGTTGTGTTTGATTAGGGTTGAAGCAAAACTGTGCAGAGCTGCCGCTCTCCAGGAATGGATTTTGACACCTATTTTTTAAGTAATTTTGATGATGTGACCAAAATCGCTGATGTATTTATTTTTATTTTTTGGCGTCTAGGATAGCACTGAAGTCAGGGTATGGGAAGTATTTGGGTATAAACTCAGAGGGAGTTGTTGTTGGCCGATCAGATGCCATAGGCTCCAGAGAGCAGTGGGAACCAGTGTTTCAAAATGTAAGTGAATCTGCCGCAGTCACAACGGAAATACCTCTCAAATGTGGAGAGAAACTCTGAAGTATGGTACATTTGGCCAAGTCTTAAATTATGTTTCTACCTTTTGTTTTTGTTCTGTCCTTGTAGGGTAAAATGGCCTTGCTTGCTGCAAACAGTTGTTTCATCTCGTACAGTGAGAGCGGAGACATCGTGGCCAAAAACAAGACAGCTGGAGAGGAGGAAATGATCAAGGTGAATCATTTCTCAATTCACAATCCACACCAACATCAATGGCTGAAGGACTTTTGTTGTTGTTGATGTTTGTGGGACAGAATGATTCACTGCTGCTTCAGTTTTAACATGCAAAAATAAATGGCATGCCAAACATCTTAAGGAATAATTCACTAATAGGTTCCGGATTTGGACATTTGGCTCAAGTCAGATATTTTTTCCACAATTTATTAAGAGTTTAATGATGCACACTAGTAGTTACAGTTGATAATGTGCTTTAGTTTTTAAATAAAGCTCAGCAGGGAGGGGAACTAAGCACTTCTTTATTTATTTTAATAAAACAGTGGTTTAATGACCAACACGTGACTCTATTTTTAATTAAAATCAATTATTTCTTAAGGATGAGCAGTTCTGGTGAGGCCACTTAGCTTAGCACAAACCATTGAATCAGATTAGACCATTAGCATCTCACTCAAAACATAAAAAAAAGAGTTTTGATAAATTTCCTATTTGAAGCTTGACTCTGCTGTAGTTACATTAGCTGTGTCCCAAATGGCACACTATGCACTCATGCACTACGTACTTGTTCACTTACACACTCAACAGTATAGTATATGTATGTATGTCTTCCCAAATGGAACACTAATGGTTTTTTGCTAAGCGGAAATTCAACCCGTTTCCCTGATGACGTTTGACGGTTACCAAATTAGTGAAATAAATGAACAAAGTACCAAATACCTGCAGTGAGAATTACCACATTCTCCATTGGGAGGCGCTATAATCACTCTCATAGGAAAATTTCACTTTCACAATCCAAAATAAATAAAGTTATTCAACATGTGAGTCCGATAGCTCCGCCTCTTCCACTACTTGAGCAAAGCAACAGTCATTCAGTGCGTGAAGTGAAGTGTCCAACATTACACACTTCATTTTACCGGCTGAATGAGTGCATCATCTGAGAAATAAAGTGCACTTATTACTTTTAGAGTTTTCAGTATAAACTCACTACTTACACTATTTATACTACTAAATGGCTTAGAATAGTGCATAAGTATGCAGTTTGGAACGCACCTAGAGTTTGCTGGGACAGAGGAAAAAACATCCAATTTCTAGGTCAATATGGCTAGGAATTATACTGCCATTCCATTGTAATAATCAAGGAAGGAAGTTTACTGTGGTACCATGACTGCAGCTCGTTTGATGATAGGATAATGATCTCAATTCTTTAATCATTTTTGAGCAAGATGCTTATGGTCTAATCAAACTTCATGATTTATGCTAAGCTAAGCTAAAAGTGCTCCCGCCATACCTGAAGATCGACTGAATGCATTAAAAAGTGATAAAAATCAACTGTTTAACTTTAGGGAAGATGTAAATGAGCCTATTTTCGAAAACAACTAAAGTGTTCCTTTAAAGCAGGGTTGTCCAAATCCGGTCCTGGAGGGCCGGTGTCCTGCATATTTTAGTTCTAACTCCAATTAAACACACCTGAACCAGCTAATCAAGCTATTTCTATATATTCACCTTATTCTTCGCTGATGAGCAGGTGCAGCAATTTGATTCTTTTTGGCTCGAGACTTCCGGTCTCATTCACTTCCATTCATTTTTAGACATTAAAAACTGCTCATTTCGCTGTTTGATGTTGCAAACTGATATTTCTTTATTATATTACTTTACTTGGTCTGTATAGTCATGCAAACATTTTTGTGTAGAGCAAGTAGTTTGAACATTTTCTGCCGTTTATTATTCCTAGTCATTTCTCCCATAGGCGACTGAATCAGAAGTTCTAAAACAATCGCGATAACAGGCGCACTTCCGCATTTTAGAATAAGGTCAATACTTGATACTTCCAGGCATGTGTGTTAAAGAAAGTTGGAGCTAAACTATGCAAGACACCACTTGTAGCTTAGCAAAAGTCATGGCGTAATGCGAGACTCTTATCATGCGATTAAAAAAAACGCCGTTAATCTATGCTCAAAGTTGGGTTGGGAGCTGGGTCTATTTTATGCAAGCTATGGTGACTTTCACCTTGATATTTTAGTGCGGATGTATACCTGACCGGTGAGCCGTCTGACAAAAAAGTGCCCTTCTGAATCAAATCAGCAGGATGCCGGACTTTAACTGCAGTTCGGCAGTTTCACTTTAACTCATGAACATTTCATTCATGCCCCGTGACAAAATGGGGTATTAGACGCAAATAAGGAGTAAGGACTGGTGAGAGTGTTATGAAATTTAATAACGCACGCCAAATGCAAAGAAAAAACTTCCGCATTTTGCGGTGTGCGTGTGTGCGTGTGTGCGTGTGTGCGTGTGTGTGTGTGTGTGTGTGTGTGTGTGTGTGTGGTCCTTTGCTGACAGCCGCATGTGTGGATCTTCTCGGAAAATATGTCAAAGTCCTACATGACGGTAATAGTTTGATTACGGTGTTTACTTCAATAATGCCATTATTATATATGCATACTCCACGTCTTAATTCCATTTCTGTTCAATTCTGTTATGACTATAGTCGAATTAATGTGATCAAAAATTGCTGTTTGGAGCTTACATAGGCCTACAGTTAAAATTGATGTTCATTCATTCATTCATTTTCTTGTTGGCTTAGTCCCTTTATTAATCCGGGGTCGCCACAGCGGAATGAACCGCCAACTTATCCAGCAAGTTTTTAGGATGCCCTTCCAGCTACAGCGGATGCCCTTCCAGCCGCAACCCATCTCTGGGAAACATTCACACACACATTCACACACACACTCATACACTACGGACAATTTATCCTACCCAATTTACCTGTACCGCATGTCTTTGGACTGTGGGGGAAACCGGAGCACCCGGAGGAAACCCACGCGAAGGCAGGGAGAACATGCAAACTCCACACAGAAACGCCAACTGACCCAAGGTTCGAACCAGCGACCCAGCGACCTTCTTGCTGTGAGGCGACAGCACTACCTACTGCGCCACTCCCTAAAAATTGATGTTTAACTGAATAAACAGTTAGTAAACACAAGTACATCTTATTGAACATCATTTATTTTCATCACCAATTATTATGGTAGAACAGTTTCTCAAGCAGTTTGTGATGCATTTTGGAAACAAGAGATGGGCCCCTGGTCTAATTCGCCACCTGGCTTGAGAAACCCATTCTCCAAGACTTATTATTTGGGTAGCACACATATTCTGAATGCCTTCTGCAAAATTCAAATGAGCCATTTTAATCTAGATTAATTCCGAGATTAATCTAGATTTTTTTTTTATCTAAAAATATATATACACATATATATAGTTTTAATAATTTTTAATAACTTAATAAGTTTTATATAACTTTAATAAGTTTAATAACTTGACTCTGCTGTAGTGACAAGCAAGTTGAAATTTCCACCACTACAATGTACAGTCTACTTTGTTATGGACGCAAAGCTATAACTGTCAAATGAGAATGTATTATTTTCCTTGGCTATAAACATTGTTTTTCCTGCTTACCTGTCCTGCACAGATCCGTTCATGCACAGAAAGGGAGGTGAAGAGGAAAGATGATATTGCAGATGAAGACCGAGGCGATGTCAAGAACTGCGAGCTCAATTATGTGTGAGTGTCTACATTTATTACATTCAGAAGCGCTGCTGTTCATTCAGCATTCAGTCAAGTTCTAATGCTTGCGTCAATGTTTGCATGCAGAAAGAAGTTCCAGAGTTTTCAGGACCGGAAGCTGAGGCTGAATGAGGAAGACAGCGGTTCACTCAAAAAAGCCAGAACAGATGGAAAGTTCCATGAGGCACTGCTGGACAGGTAAAAAACACTTCTGAATTCATACCCTGGTCATACTGAAGAATGAATGACTGTAGCCTGTGTATAATTCAGCTTATTCTCAGATGGATGAAAATACAGAACATTATATTTTATACACCACCTACGTTGTACTGGATGACTTATTTTAGAAGATGTGAGATATGCAAACCCTTATAAATCTTTTGTCATGGCTAGTGATGTATTGATCACGTGCATGTATTGATTGTTGTTGTTTTATTAGGAGGTCAAAGATGAAGGCTGACAGATACTGCAAGTGAAACCAGAAGAAGCACATCATCATTTTTACATCTTCATGGAATTGACATTTTAATTTCACAATTTTAACTTTATTCTTGCAAATGCAAGTTACAAACTCAAGCAATTCTGGCTGTTTTCTTCATATTTGTCAGATACAGACTTCTAGTCAAAAATGTGAGAAGTCTTGAGAAATGTATATCTCTGAATGTATATCTCTCAAAACACAATCATACAGTCAAGCCCAAAATTATTCATACACCTGGTCAATTTTGACTTAGTTACTTAAAGAAATATTTGTACTTAAAGAAATGTATTTTTTTTTCCATGATGGAAATGAATGATGCCTCTTGTACATCGTATTATCTTTGGAGAAGCCTGTGTCACTTTTAAAAAAACAACTTAATAAAAATAACTTTAAGTCCGAATTTGCCAGCAGTATGAATAATTTTGGGCCTGACTGTATATCTGCAGGGTATTTTGTTGTTTTATTATTTTCTTTATCTTATGATAGAGACTAGCTTCCAGAATTTTTTCATATTTTTTTGTATTGATTGTAAATGTCATTCATTTCCAAAAATAAATGGATCACAAATTCAGTCTTCCGTATAATCACTTAATTTATTCAAATGTCTCTTAATTGTTATTATGAATAATTCAATATTTTTTGGTACATATCTTAAAAGACATGAATATGCCTAAAATGTTTGTCTCTTTGTCTTTCTCTTTGTGATGTGATTTAATGTTTTGATGTATATTATAGAAATGTTATTCATACTAAAACCACATTTAAAGTTACAATAATTGACTCTTTAAAAGTTAGTTCACCCGAAAAGGAAAATACTGTCTTGAGTGATAAACAGGGCCCTGGAGGAAAACATCTTCAGCCTCCTGCCTAGACAAGCCTTGTAACTCGCAAAGGCTATGAATGATGGCCTGTACAAATATACAAATAATACATTTACTAATAAAATTAAACATACACTCTGCTGAACATAAGCATGCTCATGTACATGCATGTTTTGTGAGACATCTATAAATGAACTCCACCTCATTATTGTAGGTCAGCTGCGTTTGGGTTCTATTGATTGCCAGCTGATCAACAAAACAGAATTTTTACAGTTAGCACTGGATTACTTCAGGTCAATCATTAATCATTGTAGAAATTCTATTTATAAATTTGAAGCATGTTTGGTCAGGTTGACCATTTATCAAGGGCTCTAATTGTGTTGCAAAAGGCAAAGCAAAACACATAAATATAGTAGATTATGCAAAAATATATATAAATAAATTCCAGTATATGCATGAACAGCTTATACTGCATCCTCCTTCTCCCAGTAGCTCACCCATGTTGTAGGTCAAGCACATCTGTTCAAATATAAATAGTTTTAGAGACGGATTCAAATTCTATAATGCAAAAATAAAACTTTATTACCACTTTATATGCCAATATACGTAACGCATAAACATATAATCCATTAAAAAAATTGAAAGCATCAAGCAGCCATAAATATAATGAACTTACTCCCAATAATCAAGACCACATCTTGGTTTGGGTTTTCTGCCAGAGCACACAGTATCTTCTTCTGACAGATCAACTGGAAGCTCCTGGACTTGCTGGTCAACAGTGGAGGGAGGAACCTCAAGGCTACTGTTAAGAGTGTCCTGGTGACAACAACTCTCTACAGTACATGTGATCTCCACAGAGGTTTGATCTAAAGAGAGAAAAACACATTTAACATTTATATAAATAAACACCCAAACATTTCAATGCGGTTACAAATAATACATAGTTGAAGTCAGAATTATAAGCCGCTAAATCTTTCCCAAATTATGTTTAACAGAGCAAGGACATTTTCACAGTATGTCTGATAATATCTTTTCTTCTGGAGAAAGTTATTTGTTTTATTTCGGCTAGAATAAAAGCGGTTTTTATTTCATTTTTAAACAACATTTTAAGGTCAAAATTATTAGCCCTTTTAAGCTATATTGTTTTCCATTAGTCTACAGAACAAACCGTCGTTATACAATAACTTGCCTAATCACCCTAACCTGTCTAATTAACCTAGTTCAGCCTTTAAATGTCACTTAAAGCTGTGTAGAAGAGTCTTGAAAAATAACAAGTAAAATATTATTTACTGTCATCATGACAAATATAAAATAAATCAGTTATTAGAAATGAGCTATTAAAACTATTGTTTAGAAATGTGTTGAGAAATTTTTTCTCTTTGTTAAACAGAAATTGGGAAAAAATAAACAGGAGGGCTTATTATTCTGACTTCAACTGTATATAGTATTTACAGAGACAAAACTGAGGTGTTCAGATACACAAACCTCTGCACATCTGAACATTTGAACTCTGCAAATGTTTAAAGCTATAATCTTTTTAAATGATTAAGTCTACACAAAATGTATGGTGATTTACCATCAGTAGAAGATTCTGCCTCCTGCTCCCCCTTCTCACATTGCTCCTGGATTTATTGGTGTAGAGAGGAATCTCAAGGCTACAGTTAGTGTCCTGGGGACCAAAACTCTCTAATGTGATCTCCACTGAGGTTTGATCTAAAGAAGGAAATATATATTATACATTAGAAAACACAAACATTTCAATACTGCTACAAATAATACATATATAGTATTTACAGAAACAAAACTATAAAGTTCAAATATACGAACTGCCGCATGTGAATATTTGAACTTTGCAAATGTTTAAAGCTATGATGATCTTTTTTTAATGATTAAGTTCAGTACACACGAAAGATGAAGTGATTTACCATCAGTAGAAGTTTCTTCCTCCTGCTGGATTTGCAGGTCAATAGTGGAGGGAGGAACCTTAAGGCTGTAAAGAGCTTGCTGGTAATCATTGTCCTCAATAATGCATGAGATTTTCCCTGCAGAGGTTTGATCTAAAGAAGGAAATATACATTCAACTTTTATTTAAATACAAACGCACAAAAACTTTTCAATTCTTTTACAAGTAAATTATACATATACTTACAGAGACTAAAGTTTAAAGCTATGATGATCATTTTTTATTTCATTTTGTCCCAGTCACACAAAAGGTAAAGGCATTTACCATAACTAGAAGGTTCTGCTTGGGTGTCCTGCTCCACCTTCTCACACTGCTCCAGGTCAACAGTGGGGGGAGAAACCTCAAGGCTACTGTTGGGAGCTTGCTGGTAATTACAGTCCTCAGCGGTGCATGAGTTGTTCCCAACAGAGGTTTGATCTAAAGAGGGGAATATACGACAACTACATAAATAAAAACTCTCAGAAACTTCTCAATCCTTTTACAAATACATATATTTACTGAGACAATAGTTTAAAGCTATGTTGATTATTTTTTTATTTAATTTTTTCCAGTCACACACAAAAAAGGGATTTACAATCAGTAGAAGATTCTGCTTCGGTGACCTGCTCCACCTTTTCACCCCTTCCAGTTCTTGCGCTTGAAAAGCTGAATCAGGCCAGCTTCCTCCAAAACCTCGATTTCTTCTTCAACTTTTGCTCCTTCACCCCACTCCCTACTCCATCATCTTCACAAGTAACAGCACGACTCTCATCAAGCTGATGTTTTTCTTGACGAAGCGTGTCTTTATTGGACTGAAGTGGTGTACTTGGATGGAAACTGTACACTCCGTCTCTGTCGCTATATTGTTGTGCATTTATCCTATGACACTATTAAGTGTCAGTGGAGGCGTGAAAAAGGCACACAACAACTGAAATCCATGCAAAACGTTTACTTAAATAAATAACACTTTGGCAGCAGCGGGGTAATGCTCTCGCCCCGTGCAGAGGGGTTTCTTAACCATCCACACTGGACCTGCGAGCATACAGTCAACTAACTTCCCGCGTGATGACAAAACAGCATAGGATTGGCTAATGCACAATGTGACTTAAAAGTGCTCTTTTCTGTTAATTAATAAACAAAACACACAAGAAATTTGCAGACCATGATAAAACAAACGCACCGTGTTACTTCAAACTACCATATTACACCGTCAAGCCACAAGATTGTGACATTAAAAAGAGTGTTTGTCCTTGAAAGCGTTTTGTTTTGGTTTTTTAAAAATTGCTGGACTACGTAATGCATATAATACCTGACAATTCTTATAGTAATCCCTAAAATAATCCTATAATAATTATTAAACCATATTATAAATGTAAATCTACTTGTTTTAATACTTGTTCAAACACTTGTATAAATATTCCGTAATTCCTGCTACACAGTATGCTGCATCGCCAATATTTTGAGAAGGGTAATCCTGCACAACTGGAGTGGCTGCACTCTCAGGACCGCATTTTTAGGATCGCATCTTTAGGACCCTAGTTTTTTGTGACAGCGTCACCTGTCGGATTGGATCATGGATGCGCTAATGGACGACACGGATGACAAGGAAAGTGTAAGTACCGATTTTTCTATTAAGTTTTATTTTAAACTGTTAAAGTAAGTGTTTATTTTGTAATGCTGCTGTTTTATACTGTGAGTTTATGCGGAAATGCCAGATTAGCCTGCATGATTTACCCCACTTTTAAGGGTCTGGGACAAAAATGTTACGTGACGATTTTTTTTCCAGAAGAAGAATAAAATATTATAATAATAAATATGGATAATTTTACACAGCCAGAGTGAGAGCTGCTATAACTGTTAATAATTTTCTAGAGTTCGTTTTCTAGTTTGATTATACGACGTTCGTAACTCGTGACCATGGTTTAATGAAACATTGTTGATTTAATGGCTTGTTGACTTAACGGCTAATGTGCTTAGTGACTCATGCATTAAACTAAGATGGTAAAAGCACGTTTGATGTAAGAGTTTCAGATTTATCTATATTTTACTGAATTCGTGTTATTCGTTGTATTACATTAGCACATTAAAAATTGTGCTGACTGCCTGTTAGCCCCAAAATACTGTATGTGTTATTAGCCTGATGTTTTGTCATCGTTTTACAGTGATGAATGAGATTCTGAAAGTTAGGCTTATTCTGTAGGTCTTAACCATATAGAGTCTCATATCTTTAATTTATATCATCAGGTATGTTTTACCTGGCGAATAAGAAGTGATGGCCAATATGATTGGATTGCTTAGGCTCATTGTAGGAGGAAAAGAAAACAAACTACAGGAATATTTTCATTGAGGTTATCTCAAACTGTTGAGTAACACTTTATAACATCTGCATACTATAAATAAATAATTATTAAGCATTTAATAACTAGTTAATTTATTATTTTATTTGTTTAGCATTAACTCTACATTTAATAGACATTGATAAGCAGTTTATAAATACAGTTACAAATGCTAGCTGTGTTCTTGAGTTTATAGCATATCTATGATGAAGTGCAGCTTATCTGTGGTGTTCATTTTCCAGAGGAATGTCTGGCCAAATAAGTATATAAACTGCATGCTGGGTGCTACTCATTTATGAATCCATGTAAAATGATTTGCTGTTCTGTGGTGGTATTTTAGTTCATATTTAAATGATTTTTTTTTCATAGGCCATCGTACATCCTCTGGGTGTCTTGAGGAGCTGGTCTTTGGATAATGCTGAGCAGGTCTTTCTTTCTGGTAAAGATTATCATTACAGGTCAAAATATGGTTAATTTTGCACAATGCTCAAAGAGCCTTTTTGTTACTGGTATATATGTTAACTCAACAGTGATTGTTCTCTATTTCAGTGAAGTAAAAGAATTTAACAGACAGATTTACAAACAACTGACGAAAGAAGAGAGAGGATTCAATAGGTGGGTATTGCTCTTATATACTTAAAAATATGAAGTTGGGAGTAGTTTCCTGTTTGGTTCTCCCAACAGTGCATACGCTTAAGCCAGAAATATATATATATATATATATATATATATATATATATATATATATATATATATATATATATATATATATATATATATATATATATATTATAGCTAACACTGTAAAGCAAATGTTTGTTATTATACCTCTTATATTAAATATTAATCTAAATTTAATTTCATAACACTTGATTAACCTTTTGAGTTCATATACATTGTTTTACATATTCAAGAATATATATATATTCATTCATTTTCTTTTTCAGCTCAGTCCCTTTATTTATCAGGGGTTGCCACAGCAGAATGAACCGCCAACTTATCCAGCATATGTTTTACACAGCGGATGCCCTTCCAGCTGCAACCCAGTACTGGGAAACACCCATTTACACTCATACACTTGAACATGGGGAGAACCTGCAAACTCCACACAGAAATGACCACTGGCCCAGCCGGGGCTTGAACCAGCAACCTTCTTGCTGTGAGGCGACGGTGCTAACCACTGTGCTGCCCTATGTGCTCTATGCGGGTGAGTGGGATTGACAAACCACTTGGAGGGAACACTCTTGCTGTCTTAATGCACCAGACATTTTGTTATAAATCATGTGCGTTTCATGTTTATTCATATAACTGCTATTTTATCTCTTAGCACTTCATTTTTGTCTTGATATTTAATATCTCTTGTTTAAATACACTATGAACAGCAGATGCGCTAATTATTTTCCTTGTTCCCTATTTCCACCTGGGGATATTCATCCAGAGGCCTCTAGAGATCGTAACCTGTGAAGAGATGATGCCACCATAGAGGACTTCTAAATGTATCCATAATCCTGAAACAGACCGTATCATGAGCAGATGCTGTGGTGGTCATGGAGAAGTGGAGAGCATGAGACTGATTAATGAAAGACCCCAGTGACAGATGAGTGCCCACATTGACCCTGTGGTCCAGCCTGAAAACCAGCTGGTGACCTACTCACACCTGCAGCTTCTCCACGATGGACGCCCAATGTTTGCCTCAAGCGCCTAGACTGCAGCTCTGCACGTGAAGTGTGGCCAGAAGAGAAATGGTTGTGCCCAACTGAGCCTAGTTTCTCTCAAGGTTTATTCCTTCACTTTCATCTATTTGTAAAGTTTTGTTCCTCCACTGTTGCCATTGGCTTGCTTGGTTTAAGACTTGTGGAACTGTGCATCGATGGATTTGCTTTTTTTAGTGTTTGGACTTTCAGCAGTGAATACTAAACCACACTGAACTGAACTGAATTTAATAAATGTTAAGCTGCTTTGACACAATCTACATTGTAAAAGTTCTTTAGAAATAAAGATGAAATTAATTGAATTAAATGTTCAACACGTTTCCATTTTTCTCAGAAAACATATTTATAAAGGTGCTGTTGACTTGAAATTTTCACCAGATGTTGATAACAATTTGTAAAGTAATTAGATTTGTTTTCTATTCATATATTTTTTTTCTTTGGTTTTCAGGCATTTCATAGCACCTTTAGAAATATGTTTTCTGAGAAAAATGGGAACTTGTTGAATACTTATTTACCCCAGTGTGTATGTATATATATGTATGTATATGTGTATGTGTATATGTATATGTGTGTGTGTGTGTGTATTTATATGTATGTATTTATATGTAAATATCTGTGTATATATATATATATATATATATATATATATATATATATATATATATATATATATATATATATATATATACTTGAACTTTCTTCTTCACTCTCATTCACAGGAGCTAAAGTCTACAGCCAGTCTGAATGCAGCAACTGAATAAACAGTGGGGTCATTTTTGTGGTTGAATTGCATTATTAAAAATAAAAGTGTGGATATTTATATAAATGTACATTCTTGAATCATCCTTGTTTCTTGTCTCTCTAAAACCTTTACAACCTGGTTTTAAATTAGTAACTGCAAATGCTGATCCCATTTGATTTAAATTTATTTTCCTTAATACTGAGCTAATTAGTTCAATGTAATGGGGTTCATCAATATACAGTATTTTTCAAGGAATGTAAGACTTTTAAGGCACTCAACTCTATTTATTCATTTATATTTTGGGTGTAAATTCATTTGTTTCATTTTAAAATTGTTACGTAAAGCAGGCGTTTTACACTTTAACCTCTGTAATAAAAGTGCCTGAAAGTTTCCGCTATATAATCCAATTCGGTAGGTGGCGCAGTTAAAAAACGGGTCCTCGAAATGCAGTTTCACTATGTCATCCAATCCGGTAGGTGGCGCTTCCGCAAAAAAACTAGGGTCCTAAAAATGCGGTCCTAAACATGCGGTCCTGAGAGTGCAGCTACTCCAGTTGTGCAGGATCATACTATTGAATATTTTCTTAATAATTGCATTCTCTTTCTCAGCCACTTGAGGGCGGCAAACATCATGGTATCTGGACAGAACTGATAGTCCACTTCATGATCCCAGTGGTAGTGTACTGGAAAAAAAAAGAGTTATTTGTTTTTGTATGTATATTTAAGTTATAAGGAATTGAAGTCAGAAATAAAAGAGGGAAGGATGTGTGGATGGGATTTAAAAACATGATAATCTAAATCTACTTTTTAACAGTTGAGGGATGGTATTTTCCTTTCGTTTTCCTTTCAGCTTCGAGGGTTTGTGTTTTCCAGGAAACTATTTGGATGAAATATAATAGATTTCCAAATGTTTGTTTAAATTATGAAAGTCAGCCTGGTTTTGATCAAACTTGTGATCTGTATTAACAAGCTCCAGCTACTCTTTTTCACACTTTGTCCAGCACTTTTTGGGCATCAATTTTTACAATTTCTGAATGAGATATATATATATATATATATATATATATGTATATATATATATATATATATATATATATATATATATGACCATGATTGCATAAAGTGTTTTGAAAAATATCTATTCAAATATTACTTACTGTCACCATGGCAAAGAAATAAATTTTATATTCTTTAAGTTTTTAGAAATGAGTTATTAAAACTATTATGTTTAGAAATGTGTTTTCAAAAAGTGCTTTCCGTTAAACAGAAATTGGGGGAAATAATAAACAGGGGGGTTAATAATCCTGACTCCAACATTTTATACAAAATTTAACAAAACTTCAGTTTTGGCTAATAATATTCTTCTTTTGATTGACAAATCTCTCATTAACCAAAAGTTTATTTTTGTTTCATTTTCTTAATAATTGCTGTAAAATTCAGATTACTTCTCTCTTTTTGATCTTTACAATTTTTTTGACTTTTTATTCTACCAACACTTTTAATATTTAAACATAACCCAGATACAGACGGAAAAAAAGATGGAGGCATTTAATAGCAGTTTTAATTTCAATTTCATTTTTTAGAAAGAGTGCAGTGTGGTCTGCTGACTGAGAGCATTTTAATTCTTTCTCTAAAATTCTAATACCTCAAAATGTATCTCTTTTTATATGCAGGGCCATAGTTTGCGTTACCAGCAAGAAAAGAAAGGGTGAAATAGGACAACCTTGACATTTGCCCCTCTTGATTTCGAATCATGATGTTGTTCCATGTGATCATTTAATTGAGCTGTAACAGTCTCTGTCTAAAGTTTAAATAGCCTTTTAAAATGTTTTAAAATCTTAAAGCCAAAAAAATGAGTCTTCAACATAAAACTATCATCAATTATATCAAATGCAACAAATAAAATACAACTATTATCCAAAATAAATTTATTGTAATCAATCAAATCTAAAATGAGTCTTTTATGATTGTGAAAGTGTCGCCCTTTCATAAACCCTGATTGACATACATCAATAGGGTCAAGACACTTTTTTATTCTTTCTGCAAATATATGATGCAAAAATGTTTGCTTCATTATTAAGGCTTCAGTAATAAAGTTATCAAACCTTGTCTTAATGTTTTATTTAAATAACCTTGCTGGATAGCCTCTCTGAATACAGCTAACAAAAATGGTGCTAGTTCCTTTTGAAAAGATTTATGAACTTCACTAATTAAACCATCATTCCTAGATGTCTTATTATCTTTGAGTTTGTTGATACAATTCAGTAGTTCATCTAAAGCAATATCTTAGTCACACATTTGAACTGAGGACTTTTGAACGTCTTTAACATATTCTAAAAATGACTGAGCATTACTTAATTGGTTATTTGAATATAATTTCTCATGAAAGTCTGCCACATATCTTGATATTTCTTTAACGTTTTCTACTTTCTTTTCATTGATATTCAGTTTGACCACAGCTGTTAATTCTGCATTTCTTTTTTCAATATTAAAAAATACTTAGTATTCTTTTCTCCTTCCTCTAGCCATTTTTCATTGATCTAACGAAGACGCCCTTTGCTTTATATTTTTTAAATTTTATCTAATTTTAATTGTTTTTGCATTAATTTCTTTTTTCCTTCTTGATTTAGGTTATAATTTCCAGAGAGGCGTATAATTTCACATATTTTTTTCTTCCTTTTCTCTCCTATATTTTGCTATTTCGTTTCCTTTCCTTATAGCTGAAGTTCTAATGTTAAACTCCATTAGTTCACAATTATTACCAATATTATTAGTTAAATTTGCCTCATTCCGGCTATTTATAAATAAAAAAATAAACTTTACATCTGTCAATATATTTTTGTTAATTTTCGGTCCGTGAACTGCACTCTTCCGTTTCCACAGTTTCTCCATACACTCTTAATTAATAGAATTATAATATATGGCAGGCTTGTGCTGCTGTGTAGTAACATAAAGCAGAAACGAACCGAAAGACAAGAAACAGTAAAGTCATCTTTTATTGTGTAAGTCATTGTTTTGGTCACTCCCCCGTCTGTCTCGTGGGTTTGCGCAGATCACCAACCGTCACGAGAATCCTCATCGGCACTTCCGCGTTCGGAGAAGTCCGAGGACAGATCGGTCTCATCATGAACAACAGATTAAACCTGTGCTTTTTCATTCTCTCTTATATGTGTATGTGCTTGTCTGCGCAATATGTACCACCGGTAAGTCACAGCTTATGCTTGTTGTTGATATTGACGAAACAGTTGCTTGTTTACGGCAACAATATCCTCATATCTCATTTCAGATTTGTGTTATTGGGGATTACAGTGATTGCGAGACTGATTCGTGTTAGTGTTTATACGACACTGCTTTGTTGTATAACTTAAATGACCTAGTTAATGGTGTTGGTACAGTTAAAAAAGTTAAGGAGAATAACCAACACGACAAATATGCTGCAAAACTGAGGTATAATTACTGCTGTTTATATATTTCAGTTCACAGAAGATTGCAGAAGTGGCATGTATCCTCCAAATGGCCCCACGTAAGTATAGTAACTGAAATTATGAATTATACAGTCGGTAGAAAGTACTGTCAGAGTGTATTGTGTTATTACACACTTCCTCTGAACACTTTACCTCACAGGTACGTGTAGTGTATGTAAAATATAAATAAAGCGAGCAAATAAATACACACGAGAGAAAAAGAAATATATGTCACTTAGATAATTAATAACAGTGTCAGGTGTTTTGTAACAATAGGGTTGGAAAATCATCATTGTTGTGCAATAACTTGTGCATCTTTTTACATTACATTTTAAGTGTTCGTTTTAGGGTACTTGTTATTATTAAGTAATAAACTTACTTTAAGAGTTTGGTAGGAATGCTCCAATCAGAATTTTCTAGGGGATATGGAGTACCGATTCCTTGTCATGATGATCGTCCGATACCGAGTATCGATTATGATGCTTCAAGCTTTATATAACTTTGCCATTGCATAAAGCACATTTTCCCTCTAAGTATGAGATCTTGCCTTGCCTGAGATAATAAATTAAGCATGTTCCATGCATGTAATAGTCAAAAACAATTTTACAAAAAATTATAGATAGAACAGAAAAATGGTAAGGAAATATTACTAACAATGCAATAAAAAAAAAATTGCTCGTGTTGTGGTGCTGCTGATGTATATCTCGGATGTGCACATGCGTCTTCCTCTGCTTGTAAATCGTAAACAAACACTTGATCGTGAGATCGGCCAGATCAGCAAGAACCGATCGAGTCGTGAAATGTGATTATCGGCCAATACCGATCTCCAGCGGATCAATCGGAGTATGCCTAGTGTTTGGTTTATGGTTAAGTGCATTTAAATATGGATAATTTACTATTATGATCATGTCTGCACATGTTATTTGTGACAAGGACCCTGTAAAAGTAGATATTTTCATTATTTCACATACATATATATATATATATATATATATATATATATATATATATATATATACACATACAGTTGAAGTCAGCATTATTAGCCCCGTTTTTTCCCCCATTTTCTGTTTAACGCAGAGAAAAAAAAATTCAACACGTTTCTAAACATAATAGTTTTAATAACTCATTTCTAATAACTGATTTATTTTATCTTTGCCATGATGACAGTAGATAATATTTGACTAGATATTTTTCAAGACACTTTTATACAGCTTAGTGACATTTAAAGGCTTAACTAGGTTAATTAGGTTAACTAGGCAGGTTAGGAGGGCTACGCAGTGGCGCAATAGGTAGTGCTGTCTCCTCATAGAAAGAAGCTCGCTGGTTCGAGCCACGGCTGGGTCAGTTAACGTTTCTGTGTGGAGTTTGTATGTTCTCCCTGCGTTCGCGGGATTTTCTTCCAGGTGCTTAGTTTCCCCCACAGTCTAAAGACATGCAGTACAGGTGAATTGAGTAGGCTAAATTGTCTGTAGTGTATGAGTGTGTATGGATATTTCCAAGGGATGGGTTGCAGCTGGAAGGGCATCCATTGCATATAAAATGTGCTGGATAAGTTGGCGGTTCATTCCGCTGTGGCAAGAAAATGAATGAATGAATGAATAGGCAGGTCAGGGTAATTAGGCAAGTTATTGTATAATGACGGTTTGTTCTGTAGACTATTAAAATATATATATAGCTTAAAGGGGCTAATAATATTGTCCTTAAAACTACTAAACAATTAAACTAAATATACCAATAAAATATATATTAACACATGAAAAATTATACTTTTGTACCAAAATGTCTTTTTTTCTAATAATTTGAGGTATTTAATTATGGAACAGTGTAAATAAATAAGAAATTAAACCTAATACCACTTTCAGTTTGATAATTTCCTATAAACGGTATATATGTACTTTAATAATGTAATATTTCCATGTAGGTTTAAAATTTATTAACACTTAAAAAAAAAAAATCCGCATTGATTGTGAAATGTGTATATCCAAGCTTCTTTAGAATAATATAAATGCTTAAAATATACGTAAAAATGAGCAAACCTTTATTTGAATCTCTGTTTGATTTAGATTTAAAGGTGACGTGTCCTGGTACACTGTTGATCTGGATTTACCAGCAAGCAAAAGATGGACAGATGTTATTTCAGACAAGAAGACTGAGGTGAGTTCACATACCTTTTAATACCTTTCATACCTGTTAATTCTTCATAGATGACTCTCCTCCTGGCTTTATAAAGGAATGAACTATAAGTCCTTTTTGCATTGACCAACAAATTCACTGCTCTTGTGAGGTTTCAGATGAATTTTGTGAACTGAAAAGCACCATTACACAAGAGCTCATGTGCTTTTTTCCTTCAGATGGCGAGCATGATTCAGGCCATCAGAGATCTAGCAGACGCCTTTGTTCCCAGCGGGAAGCTCATTCAGCTGGTGGACAAGGACTTGGTGAATATTAACAATCTAACACATCTCTTTGCACACTGTAAAACCCAATAAGTTAAGGGAACTCAAACAATTTAAGGATTGCCTAAAACCATTTAAAGAGATAAATCTCCCAAAATCGTATTTATTTCTTAGTTTCTTTCTTCTGTTGAACACAAAAAAAGATATATTGAAAAAAGCTAAAAACTGTAACCATTGATGTCCATAGTAGGAAAAACAAACACAATGAAAGTCAGTGGTTTCAGTTTTCTTCAGAATATATTTATTTGTGTTCAGCAGAAGAAAGACACTCATAAAGGTTTGAAACGTGTAAAAGATGAGAAAATTACAGACTTTTTAATTTTGGTTGAACTAGCTCTTGAAGTCAAAAACTAATATACTGAGTAGAGCAAACTTCCTCCATATGATCACACACAATTTGAATGAACTATAATGCCATTTCAATGACAATGTAAGCTTGTCAAACTGACTACTTTATGAGTTTTGGAATCTCAGTTTCAGTTGATCAATGTCTCTTAGTTGCATCAAAGGAGTTAAATGGTATATTCATTATAAATCATTGTTAAATGCTACACTGTAAAACGAAGTGAAGTTTATTCATAAACAAATTTCGAGAGGATCACGTGCTTATGAATGTTCACAGCTGTTTCAACTTTAGCTAATGACTGATTATCCTATCAGACGATCCTTAACTCACTATAAATAACCAGACTTTTCTTATCTCAATATCTTCGTCTTGAAGAAACCTCCCCATCCAACCCTACTTTCCCTCCTTTCAAACGGGCGTCACGGTGGCCAGCGATTAGCGCTGTTGCCTCACAGCAAGAATGCCCCTGGTTTAATTCCTTTCCAAACCAGACGGCATTTCTGTGCGGAGTTTGCTCGTTCTCCCCATGATCGCGTGGGTTTTCCCCGGGTCCTCCGGTTTCCTCCCACAGTTCAAAAACAAGCACTCTAAACAATTAATCAAAATACATTAGCTAAACTCTGAGTACACCTTTCAGCATACATAACCGACACTTAGCTACAATAAGCAAGAAGGGGAGTCATCGAGATCTACCTGAGCTCAAACTCCCCTCTCGCCTTGCAACGGGAGGGAGCCCAGGGCTCTCTCCCTGCACGCCACAGCACGCCAGACTAGCTTTACTATCAATCATCAGCTTAGTGTGAACTCTTGAAAGAAGTTAAGGGAACTCCAACCATATGATGCTAAATAATGATTACTGAAGTATATAGCTACATCTCAACATGGGTTTAAGATGAAAATCTATTTTCAGGAATGAAAACCAATAAACCTGTAATATCGTATTAATAAAAAATGTCTAATGTCTAAATGTTGATAAAAAACCCTTTTACATTATATACAAAAGACGGCTGCTAAAAGATCAATGTCTAACTGTAGTATTTATACATAAAAATGCACATTTATAATAATGACTGTTTGTCGACTGTAAAAGTCTATTTAAGCAAAATTTTGGGATTGATTACTCTTATCCATTTTAATAAGTACATTTCAGCATTAGCATGTTGTTTCATTTTACATAAACACATACAAACTCTGAATGATGATGGAATATTATTTCATAACTGTTTTGACTTTGTATTTTCACAAAAAGTTACTTTAAACATCACAATAGACACGTCACTTTCATTTAATGTGTTTTCCAGACATATCAAATCACTTTTGTGACTTTCATTTGATCCAGAGCTCTATTTTGTGAGGCAGTGTAAAGTAATGTGTTCTGTTTTTCAGCCGTTAATGGTGGACACTCTGCCGTACCCGTTCAATGAGGAGATCCGGGGAATCGCGTCTGTCTCTGGTGTTCCTCTGGGTATGAAATGCACAAATCTATAGCATTACGTTCAACTCTGTTACATTAAATAAAAGTTAAATCCAAAATGTGCTCTGTGATGCAGGAGAGGTGGTGCTCTTCAACATATTTTATGAGGTGTTCACTGTCTGCACTTCTCTGGTTGCTGAGGACGTCAACGGTGAGAACATCATCAGTGACAAAACATGTCTTATATATGTTTATTTAAAGATTTGATCAGTTTTTAAAGGACACCAGGGAGTGCTATGGGGTCTGTAAAATGAATTAGTGTTCTATGTAGATACATACATTAACATTTTAGTAAAAAATTATTGAATTCAATTAATTGAATAATGGGTGACACGGTGTCTCAGTGGCTAGCACTGTTGCCTCACAGCAAGAAGGTCGCTGGTTCGAGTCCCGGCTGGGTCAGTTGGCATTTCTATGTGTAGTTTGCATGTTCTCCCCGTGTTGGCATGGGTTTCCCCCACAGTCCAAAGACATTGCTGTAGGTGAATTGAATAAATTAAATTGGCCGTATATCGCAGTAATGGGTTGCAGCTGGAAGGGCATCTGTTTCATAAAACTTATACTGGATAAGTTGGTGGTTCATTCCGCTGTGATGACACCAGATTAATAAAGGGACTAAGCCGACGGAAAATGAATGAATGAAATTGGCGGTAGTGTATGTGTGTGAATGAGTGTGCATGGATGTTTCCAAGAACTGGGTTGCAGCTGGAAGGGCATGTGTAAAACATATGCTGAATTAAGTTGGTGGTTCATTGTGCTGTGGTGAGACCTGATGAATAAAGGGATAAAGCTGAAGGAAAATGAATAAATGAATAATCAAATATGAACAAGAATTACATCAATAAATGATGCCACATTTGCTTAAATCATTTGTTAAAACAAGCCTATAAATATAGATGAGATTAGATATAATAATGGTGCCATTTAATAAAATAGTTAATACATGTGTAATTATTGTTTTAAAAAGAAACAAACTATTTTTCAAATATCATTTAAATTTATTTCTAATATTAATTTTTCACAGTATAAATTGGATCTTTATTCAAGACTTGATTCTCTGTTGCTGCAGCCAGGTTTATTCTATGAGGAAAGCTTCCCCACTGGCGAGTTTTAAGATGTTAAAAACTCTTCTTTTTCAGGTTGCACTTTTAGATTCTTGATCATTCCAATGTGTTTATATTTTATCAACGTTGAATCGTTGTATTTTATTTCGTGTTTGATTTTCTCTGCTGTCGGAGCGCTTGGGTTTAAGAAAATGATAAATAAAAATAAAAACGTATTATTATTATTATTATTACTATTATTAAGACACCATTGAGATGAATTTTACGTTTTATGATGTGGTCCCTCTCCTAAAGATGATAGTATTTGGGGGTACATTGAAAACGTATGGTAACCTATATAAAGCATATACTACTACTCAAAACTTTAGGGACATTACATTATTTAAATCCTGTTTCAGCAAGTATTAATTCAACTTATTAGAAGTAACAATGAAACATGATGCTGTACAATATTTAGAATTTTTATAAACGCTGCTCTTTTGACCTTTTTTACTCGCCAAAAAGCATGGTTTCCAGAAAATAAATATTAAGCACAATTGTCAACTAAAATAAAAACAAAAGTTTATTTAAATGATTTCTGAAGGATCATTTGACACATTTTTTATCAAGTGTCTTTTATGTTGCAAAGATTATTGTTAAGAACTAAATTGGCTGTTGTGCATGAATGTGTGTGTGTGCGTGTGAATAAGAAATTCGTATGGGTCTTTTCCAGTACAGTTCTGGGTTGTGGCCACTGCGTAAAAACATATACCAGAGTAGTTGGTGGTTCATTCCGCTGTGGTGACCCCATATAAATCAAGGGCTAGCCTGAAGGAAAATTAATGAAATATGCATAAAACTGTTTTTTTAAATTGTATTCATTCATTCATTTTATTTTTGGCTTAGTCTCTATTAATCAGGGGTCGTCACCGCGGAATGAACCGCCAACTTATCCACCTTATGTTTTACATAGCAGATGCGCTTCCAACTGCAACCCATCACTGAGAAACACCCATACACTTTCACAATATTTAATTAAAGCAGTATTGATGAGCATGAGAGACTTATTTAGAATCAAAATACATTTAATTAAAATCCTACAGTTCCCAAATTACTAAATGGTACTGTACAACACTGTATAATATCAGAATACTTGTGAAATGCCGTAAAGTAAAGATCAGTTTGTTTTTAATGTAGGCAATCTCATCCATGCAAGGAACCTGGACTTTGGACTGTTCATGGGGTGAGTTTTACCATTTGTTTTTACCCTTCTTCCTCAATTCATGCACACTCATTGACTGAACAAGACTTCATATGATGTGTGTTCCTCTCTTTCAGATGGGATTTAAAGAACAGGTCTTGGGTCATCACAGAGAAGCTGAAGCCTCTGGTTGTCAACATAGACTTCACGCGAAATGGCCAGACAGTCTTCAAATCCACCAATTTTGCAGGATATGTCGGGATGTTGACCGGCATTCATCAGGTAATCACAGAGCAGTCTTTGAGGATATCCAGAATAGCGACAGGAGACAGAAGTGACCTTTTGTCTCAGCTGTTGTTTTTAGTTTCACTTCTGCATTTGAACAGGAAGGATTATTGTGAAAGCTCGGACTGTTGGTCACTGATCACATTGCTCGTGTTGTTTTCTTTACAGAACTCGTTCACTCTCACTATGAATGAGCGATTCAGTCTGGATGGAGGATACATCGGTGAGCTCCTTTATTCATCTCACTGACTGCTGCTGAGTCATGTGGCACAAATATGTCAAGTTTAAGGCCACAAATCACTTTTTTTAACCTTTAAAAGGGGAATTTTATAACAATCCAAAATCAAACAAAACGTGCTCAGGGGTAGCTTAATTTAATGTGTCGGTGCTGTTTGGGTAAGGTATTCGTCAGAATTTACAGCAAAAGTAAGTCCAAGGCACTCAAAAATGTGGAAAAAAAATTCAAAAGCTTTTATTGACATGGCTATTTTAGCAATTTTAAGGAATATTCATGTAAATAAAAGGCGTTTCAAGTGCATTGAACTTATGCTGGGAATTTTATAACCTCATTAAATGTCTTTTATGTGAAATACAATTACTTTAATCAGAAATCTGTATGTTATTAATAGCAATAGAATTTATAGTTTACAAGCTGAAATATACATACAACTGTACAAAACTTGTATACAAAAGAACATTTGGGTGAAATTTATATTATGACAAACTTTTTTTTTTGCCCTTTATGTTGAATTTGAGGCATAATTGTTTATTTTAGTTGCTTTTGATTCCTCAATGGTCAAAGTTAAATGTTCTTTCTGGCACAGTGTTATTATTATTATTATTATTATTTTTTGTCTGTTTTAATTGATGTGTTTAAGGGTGTGTGTTTTATTATGTCACATAGTTGGTTGAATGAATGCATGTGGTTATTGTTATTAAGTGTGTGTGTGGTGTGAATTACAGGGATTCTGGAGTGGATCTTGGGAAAGAGAGACGGCATGTGGATGAGTTTCCTGACTCGCTCAGTGCTGGAGAATGCAACTAGGTTTAAAAAAAACACACGCACGCACGCACGCACAAACAAACAAACATACACACACGCACACGCGCACACACACACACACACACACACACACACACACACGAATGGATTTTTAAACATTCTAATGCTGAGTTTTCATAAATTATGCGTTTACAATCACTTTATAACTTATTTTAAATAATTATTATTTTTGAAACAGATAAAGCAGTAATAATGTTCAATTATAACTTCTGTCCTGTAGTTTATTCCTCAAAGCTCCAGTGTTCAGTGTCACATGATCTTTCAGAGAAAATTAATTTGCTGAATTTGGTGCTGCAATAATCACTGAAACATTAAGCAGAAAAACTTGTTTTTAACATTTATAATAAGAACTATCAGCTATAACTGAACCCCAAATCTACATATTAGAATGATTTCTGCAGGACCGTTTTACTCTGAGCACTGATGTAACGGCTGCTGTAAAAACATGTTGAACATTGCAGTAAATTACACTTTGAAACATTATAAATCTTTTAATTTTCTTAATCTTAATTCACAGATTTGATTGGTAGAGGAATTATTGTTTTGACCCTCCTTAAACTGAAATTATAATACAAATACATGTTTAAATCTTTATGCATATGTAAATATGTTTTTGATACTGAACTATGACAAATGCAAAGACGTCTCCTGAGTATTTAATAATGATGATCATGTTTTGTTTTAGTTATGAAAGTGCCAAGGCTCTGCTGTCTGATACTAAGCTGTTGGCTCCAGCCTACTTTATCCTGGGGGGAAACCAGTCGGGTGAAGCCTGCATTATAACCAGATCCAGAACACAAAACATCAGCCCGCTGGAGTGAGCTCTGCACCACTGATTTAGTCTATACACACATCTACATCAGGGCTGGCCAATCCTGACCTCTCTGCTCTCTAGTTGACACTTGTGTTATTATCAGGGCCAGACGGAATCGGCAGACTTTTTTTTTTCCTTTTTCTGCACAAAATTTTGTATAAAAAAAATCCAATTTTTGCAGAATGATTTTGTGAGTATTATAACTGAAAATTTTAAGTATATGAAATAATAATAAAAAAATTAAAACTTTTTAACTTCTGGTTTACAATGTAAATCCAATTAGATCGTCTAATTTGGTAAACATAGCAAGTCTCTCATATATTATATTTTCATTTTAGTCAATATTATTACTGTAATTAATTTAAAAACTGAATAAATATGTATTTACACAATAAATAGACTCAATGATGGGCTAAAACCTGCAGATTTCTGCGCGCACAGATTCCGTGTGGGCCTAGGTATTAATCTGTGATCACTGAATTAACCCTCTGAATTTTACATGTACTACATTCGTCACGTAGTTAATGTTAAATTACCTTCTAGTGTCAGTTTCACTTTCATCCACAAATCTTCTCCCGTGGCCTCGTGTAAATCTAAAGTGTCAGTTAGAAGTTGTTAGGGTAATGGTAACTAATCTTTAAAGGTTATGTGAAGTACTTGTGTTATTTTTTTTAGTTGGCGTTTAGGGAAGGAGCTTAATTCTGTGGTCTTGTTGGTCTGGAGTGAAAATCATTGTAGTATTTTGGTTTAATATGATATTGTCTATGCATTTCAGGCTGAATGTGAAGAACGGCAGGTGGTATGTGTTGGAGACGAACTATGACCATTGGAAAGAGCCTCTGTTTTTGGACGACCGCAGAACTCCGGCTATGAAATGCATGAATCAGACCACACAGACTGTAAGTTTGGATTTGCAGACTTGAGAAAATAGAATCATAATGTTAGAATTATGATTTTATTACTTTAACTTCTTGCGATCTTCTTGCAGAATATCTCAGTAAAGACGGTTTATGACGTTCTGTCCACTAAGCCAGTCTTAAATAAGGTGGGTTCTTTATGAATTTACACTTTTAATTAGTTAAGTTTGAAGCACTTATAATGCCTAGTTGAATAACACTTTTCATTCTGGTGCTGTGCAGTTGACCACATACACTACTCTTATGGAAGTTTCTAAGGGAACACTGGAGTCTTTTATTCGTGACTGTCCAAATCCCTGCATGCCCTGGTGAAGAACTCAAGACCATAGTACACTTCTGCACTCTATCTGAAGACAGCAAAATATGATGAATGTGAGTGTCTCTGTTTAGGAAGGGAAATAATTCTAATTTTAGCACTGTTCAAATCAGCAGTCTTACATTTTAAAAGGTTTGCAACATCTGATTCAGAATCACATGAGCTTTGTTGGGTATATAATCAAGCTTAACCTGTCAAACAGGTAGAACAGCTTATTTAACACAGGTCTAAGGATGTGTTATCAAACAAAATGCACTGAGAATGTTTATTGCGCATGACATATTGTACATAATTTTTAATCAAATTTTTTTTGGATGTGATTGTATCTTTTTTGTTGTTTTTGTAATGATATATTAGCGTCTGGAAAATACAAGTAGAACATATTTCAACTTGATAATCAACACTACTGGTGCCTTAATAATAAATCATTGACCAAAAGATATTAATGTTATTGCACATAATAAATGATGTAATATTTATTGCTTTGAGGGGGGGGGGGGGTGCACGGGGGGAGAAAACAACTGCAGGAAAATGGTAAAAATCAATGTTTTATTCGTTTTAAATCTCAATCTAAACATTGGAGAATTACACGAGGTGAAATGGGGTGAGAACCCAAGCATTGGCCAACATGCCTTAAAAAAAGATCCAAATAAAAGCAAGAGAACATTTAAAAGAGTGCAATAAGAAAGGACAGGACAATCCATCAGTGCTAACATGTGATTCTGCTGAATCCCTAATGGTTTTCAATGTGCAGTCTGGTTCATGTCAAATATATTTAAATAGGGTTATTTTCATTTCTGCTTAATTTTGTCCTGAACCAGAGAAACAAAAGATCTATTGTCCTCTTTGTATTTCATTGGCAAAAATCACAGGAGAAATGCAAAAACAAAAGCCTAACCATGCCAAACGTAGGAACACACAAATGTTCTGCATCCCTTAAACCTCAGCCGTTGAAGAAGCTCAACAAAGAGAAACACAGAAAAAAGCACTTACAGACTACAGAACCGCTTAAAAGACAGACAAGAGCCCGCTTCAAGACATCATCTACATTCTCCATAAAACTACTTACAGGTGTAGAGACTTCTTTGCCGTCTCTTGAACTGTTAGATCACGCATGCTGACAGGTTGATTCGCTTAGCTGTTGTTTCCAAGGATTCTTAGGGTATTAAGCTCATTAAACAGTAATGCTGCATGAAAGATGGACTGTAGTGTAAGACTGAAAGATCATTCTCATGCACTCTGGGCTCCAATGGTTTCTGCAATCAAAAAGAAAAAGAAGGTTGATGATTTCATTATCCAAATGTGTGACAAAACTAAATGTGCTTTCCCACTTGATTTGATGGCCTGGGGGCATATTGCAGAAAGTTTCTTATCTTAGGTCTTTACTTTTGCATATTTGTTTTACAGAAGCAAATCTTAACTTGACTTGGGATTCACATCTCGTCTCTAGTTAGGGAATCTAAAATTTATGCCAAGTTTGACAATCAATTTGCAGGTCTGTTACCAGGCAACCAACGCTGCAAGCTGCTAAAAAGTTAACAAATACAACGGATCATCAAAGCCAGGGGAAATAACAGAGCTCATACAAACTGAAGGCATTAGTTACTTGCACTACAACCGGTAATGCTCTGTGACGCTTTGTTGTTCTCTGTAATGCTCTGTTAATTGTAATATGTTGCGCAGCGGCCTAAAATGACAAATATTAGTGATTTTGTCATAAAAAACTAAGATCTTAATGCAGAGTTTAGACTGCATGATTTTCAAAGTAGTCATGTCACAGCATGACTATCTGGGTTAGCGTTTCGTCGCTGCTTTGTTTACACTGCAAGATGGATCAGAAACTGAGGGTTTCACACTGCATGACTTTACAATAGGAAGAATCGCCGGCACCTTTGTCTCAGTCCGAAAACTACGTCTCTCACTACTAAACACACGCAAGAAGCAGTGACATGGAAACAACACGAGGTAACGTAGTATATATTTTGTTATTAACTATATAATAACAAAAGAAGCCTTTGGTGAGGTAGAAAATGTACTTATTTTGCTCACTTGGCTCACCTATTAAAGGGAATTAGCAATTTCTCCTCAACTTTTTTCTGTTTTGAGCCGGTTGTGGTATTGCTCAGATAACATGTCAAACAGACACGGGTGCTCCTGCCAAATTTACACTGGTTTTTCCTCCATTTCTAAGGTCCAAATAGACTGAAAATAAGCGATTTTAACGTATCCCCCATCATTCCGCTGCCCTGCAGATACCCATACTAGTAGATGCTGCTCTCTCATTGGTTGTAGGTAATTGCCGATGTTATTTTAAATCAGAACACATTTCACATGACATCATTTAAATCGCAGACAGGTCCAGATATTTAGCATGCCAAATATCTTAAGAGTGTCGGCGACTCAGCGGTGATTCTCTCAGATCTTTGATAGTTCATACTGTGTGATTGTTACTCATGTGAACGAGCACCGATTTGCCTGTGATTTCAGCTATTTGTCTGCAATTTCTCAAAACCTGTTGGCGAGTCAAAATCGGGGCTCAAATCATGCAGTCTGAACTCAACACAAGTGTCCTCCAAGAGTCTGTCTACTATTAAACATCTTCATTCTTCATTTTGAATCATCAGTAAATATACTGCCACTGCTGGACAGCACAAATATAAGTGTTTTTTCACATTACCTTTCAAATTATTTTGAAGTTAGGACAGCTGTCGGGTTGCTCTTAAAAGTTAGGACCGTTTTTAGGATATATATATTTTTTTTTGGTCAAGTTAGGAGGTTTCTGTTTTACTACCTTTATATCTGTACTTAAAATAAAACTTAGAAAATGCTGTTCTGTGATAGATTAGTACTAAAATGAGGTGCTAAGTGAAATTGGTTACCAAAGAGATCGGATTTTAAAGTTAGTTTCTGTAATACAACCCTAGGTCTCAAATCAGGTTCGACCGACAACATATTTTTGGCATGCATCTTTCCATATGACTGCACAGCAGTATTGAAGGTACACATCTATATCTAAATAGTTCAAAGGTAGGGCTGCACAACATTGAAAAAAACTGACATTGCGAAATTTTGTTTTTCTGTGATCTATACCCTATATTAGGAAAGAATTCCTCATTTTAAATTGATTTAAATCATTTTTGGAGGAGTGCATCTAAATGCAAAATACATTAGAACAACAGAACGAATATTACAAAAAATTTGAGAAACCAGACTTTATGGAATTTCTTTGCAGCACTGTTAAACTCCAACTGAAAACCATAATCAAATATAACAAAAACACTGCATTGTGTTTAATGTAATAAATAATTAATTACAATTTATCATTGTTAAAGCAGTAAACTTTATAATTTCTTGTACCTAAATGGATTCAATCCACTTGATCTTATAGTTGCATTCCTTAAAAAACAACTGACTATTGAAGACACCCTTTTAAAAAAAATCATTCGCTTTAACCATTTGTATTCCAAAATAATATTTTAAGGCATATTCAAACATTTTACCACAGTACTTCAAGCCATTTTACCATTGGCTTTACTCATTTGTCAGCACAAAGTGAATTATTTACAATTTAATACCATTAATAATGATCACTTATGATTTAGTTATTATATTTACCAGGCTCTTTGAGTGTTTGAGCATTTCCCACCAATCCCGTAAGCTCGCTTGTATTTCCATTGAGAATTTCAGCTGTCAAGTTGTTATTTTGCTGTTCTTCTGAGATCCTCTTACACAGCTCTTCCTGTACAGATTACAAGCAAAGAAGATGTGCAAGTAAGCATTTTTGTATTAAACATGTAGAGAGTAAAGACAAATCTACATAACATGAAAACTACAGCACTAGTAGTGACTGATATTCAGCAGCAAACAAATATTAAAATATAAATGAATATAATACATAACAAATTAGTGAATTTTAAACTTTAAAAAAAAATGATTTCACAATGCCAAGCCAGCGAGACCACTGAAGCTCTTACCTCACACAGAACAGACATCTGAATAGGAAGATCCTCCACCTTCACAAAATCTTCCTCATCCGATCTCTGACTGGTATTTCCAGATCCAGCTTCCTGTCATTTAGAAATATACAAAGAAGCTCAACACCTTATAATCTTCAGATAAATACTTTAAAGATGCTGGTTGAGATCAGTGTCGTACATCAGTGTTGATCATGACTGGAGAGTCTGTATCAGGACTGGCTGAATCGGAGCTCTGAGGAGTTTCCTGGACTGGAGCAGAAGTGCTGTCCTCCTTTTCCTCTCCTTCATCTCCCGAAGCAGATTTTTCCTCTTCTCCACCCTCTTCTGGAGGCTGAACAATGACTTTGGGATCAGACGGTTCACTATTTACTGTTTGAAATTGGGAGAAAATATGAAAATAATATTATAGCAGCAACTGTAATGGAGTGTAATAATCAATAATAAATATAAAAAGTGTAATATTACAGAAAAAAAACATACACTGACTACTTTCTGAGCTGTCTTGGTCTGATTTGGTTTCCTGTGGGGTTTCGTTTTGTAACGCAGAGCTCTGGATGAACAACAGGTCATTATTAGTTTATATTACTAAGCTGTGTCACCTTATTTGCTATCTACTGTACACTGTAAAAGCACCTCTCTGTGTTCACAAGTGTTGTCCATGCTGGCTTGTAATGATGTTTGCACCTCTACAGGTCCAGCCTCAAACTCCTCCATCTCCTCCACTTCATTTTCATCTTCTCCACTGCCGTAGTTGCATAGAGCCTGTGTCTCTGCTTTAGACAGGCCTGAACAAAAGAGCACAAGTCAAACAGATTCTTATCAGAGTCAAACACATTACGCAGTGGTTTTAACCTGCACATGATAAGACTAACAAAATCAAGCAAACAATCCACATGTATTAGTGCATAGGCAGAAAAATGGAGCAGAAAATGAAGTATAATAAATGGGAGTTCAGAGACACCACTTGAAAGAAAGAACATGGTAAAATTGACTTACATTATAAATATGACTTTTACGGATACAGATTTTTTTTAAAGGGAAACAAAATTTATTAAAATGAACAGCACATTATAAGATCTTGGAACTTTCTAATCAAATTATTTATTGTCAAATACAAGCAGGCGTAGACATTGAAACGCTTGCTGGAGACTTCAGGGCTGGTTGTAGCAGCAGTGCGCAACTTACAACTTACACATTACTAAATATTTTTGTGTTGCACCACTGAACTTGTGTTGTAGCCATCAATTAAAACGAGAATTTCTTCATGACTGAGTTTTTCCTTCCTGCTCTTTTGCCCTTCATATGCAAGATATAAAATGTGTATTTCGCGTGCATTCAAGGCTCGCGATGCAGGTGTGAGCATTGTCCGTTATAGTGTCTGACTGTAATTTATTGTGCTATAAAAATGTCATTTATAATTTCATTTTCATAGGACAGTTCATTGTTTCCGCAACAATCATTCTTCCATGGTGGGGCGCCATGCCAAAATTCATTCCGTCATGGCTACATTACAGCTTCTCATTTAAAACATTCAAAATGTAATTTTTTTATAGCGGTTAATAAAAAAAATCGCGCCAAAACGTATTAAAAGGGAAGTGAATTATAACAGCACAAACTTTTCTGTAACCGTAGTAGTGCTGTGCCTCATTTGTTTACCCTTTAAGGTGACGTGCTGACTGACTGACTGACAGGTGCGTGAGGCCAGCAAACACGATGTATAGCCGTTTCACTTTATTTTAGGACGCATTAAAGTCGCTCTGTAGGTCTATTAAAGACATTTATAAATATTCCTAGCAAATCTAATAAATGCTGAAGACATACTCGTTACACAAACGCACTAAATCGCTCTTCAGCAGCATTTATTCGAGAGCGCACAAGAAGATCTGTGCACTCTTGAAGGGGCTTATATTTGAGGGGGCGTGAAGGAAGTTTTGTGCACGAGCAGAGAAAATCGGTGTGCAAGCAAAGAGATTGGTATGCTCGTAGGCTATAACATAAATGCGATAGTAGATCTGTGTTAAAAAAAAAGGCCTGCCGCCACAGTTGGAAAAAATACTAGAATAAACACAGCAGTTACATATAGATGCATTAGATACCAAATTTTAAAGAAGTTTAACGATTTAAATGCTTCATATTGGATATTACGTCATTCAATGTGACCAAGCATGGCTTTATGGAGAGCTTAAGAACTACTAACTATGGTTTGCTTTAAGAACATGTGGTGCAACTGAAGTAAGAACAAATTTAGTTACAAACTATGTAGTAGTTACTAAGCCCCTAGTGTGGACTTTAAGCTCCAGTTTAAGAAAGAAATTATGATCAGCTGGTGCAACCCTACCCAGGTCTCAAATGGTGCAAACTTGCATTTTCTTATGACATTTTAATTTTTTATCAAACTAAATTGATTGAACAGCAAAGTTTGTTTTTCTGCCATTTTTTATTAATAGTCATTTCCCTATAGGCAAATAAATCAGACATTCTAAAACAATATCAGAAAAAAGCTTACTTCTGAATTACAGCATAGGGTCATTAAAATAGATTGATACAAATATGAGAGAACTTTCTTAAGCACCAAAACTGGCAGTTGAAAAATCAGCTCATCTATTTTGTTACATTTTAAAATACTTTTTTTTTCATGTGGTGGTAAAATGGAAATTATTCTACTGTTTTTACTGACTTGAAATTGAGACGTCCACAACACTATTTCGCTATATGTAAGCACACTAACTAACTACTATGCCATACTAGAACTTACTTATAGAAAGTGGCAGTCCTTCTTCCTCTTCCACCTCAGATGCTTCACTGCTCTGTGCTTCTTTCTCCTTCTCCTCTTCTCTCTCATGAGGCATCTCTTGCCGCTCAGTCTCATCCTGATCCTGAATGGGAAAAAAAGAAAACCTTTAAGTCAATTTTCAGCATTCAGATTTGCAAAAAAAAAAAAAATATTCATAAACCATTGGGTTTTTGCTGCTGTCTTTACTTTGATGTAACTTTGAACGGAGGGTACTTTTTACACACCACACATTTGGTTCGCACCCAGATTCATTTAATGTCAGAGTTTGGTATGTTAAGCTAGTGTGAACGTGTCTTCTGAACTCACGAGCAGTACCCGATTCCACCAGAAAGAGGTGGTCTGAGGTACAGTTTGCATTACCTCTAGTCTGGTTCACTTCTGATGTGAATGCAATCGTACCAAATAACAGAAGTGAAACACCAACTGTACAACAAACTTTAGTTTTCATAACGTTAATTCACGCGTGTATGTCTGCGTAACAGTAAATGTTAACCTAATGTCAACCAAGTGCAAACACAGATAATATGTGCTTGTCTCCTGAAAAAAAAAGCTTCTGCAAAAATTGCATTATGTTCTGAAAAATGTTTACTATTTTTTTTGCTGCAGATAGGCGCAAGTGGATCTCTGTATGTTACCAAAACCAAAAGCATGACTGTAATGTGCATACATCTTTCCATTTTGCAGCTTTGCTTTCATGGCCTTCACTCAACAATATCTGTACACAAAACAGCAGCTTGATGATGTATCGGAGTTCAGAAGGGAAAAAAGATGGTTTGAACATTAAGGTGGCAAGTGGGGAAAAATTTAACTTTGATACAGACCAGGCAATTGAACCAAGTGTGAAACCCTGAGTCTGCAAGCTAACATACAAAATTATTCAGCTGTTATTGCACTTTAACTTACTCTGTCTTCATCAAAATAGGATGGTGAGAACGTCTTTTCTCTCTCTAGTGTTTTCATCTCCTAAACAAACAATGTAAACATTACTCCTTTACTTTAACACAAAAGTACTGCTCATACATAGGCAGAGGTTGAATTTCACACATCTTACCTCAGTGTGAGGCGAGTGTTTAGGAGATGTGTGGTCGGACCGCCTCTTGGTCCTGAGTTTGTTTTTGGAGGTGTTCTGATCTAAATCTTGCATCAGTCTGAAGAAGGCGAGCTCATTAAACAGGATCTCAGAGATCTCCACCAGCAGATCCTCACCGCAGTCCTGCAACTTCCGACCTACAAACTTGCTGAGGGAATCCTGTGCCAAGAACATCAGTATCATGCACTTAAGAAACCAATTGAAAACATTTCCGACTAACATAATATCACTAATGCAAGTAAAAAGTCACCAAACAGCAATCTAAGAAAAGCAAACAATAAATAACAATGAGCAAGGCAGAAAATTCACATCAGAATATGCCTGACCTGCAGGATGCCTTCCAGCTGCCGGTGGAAGAAGCGAACAAACTCTTTGCTTTCGTCATTTTGCTGAGTGAGGTTGAGCACCATGTGTCTCACAGCCTTGAGCAGCTTCTGTGAACACACCTCCCCAACATGCTCCTGAAAGAAAGACACATGAGAAACAATCGGTCAACAATCTGAACCCCTTACGGTTGATTAATTTGCAAATGTTAAGAGAAAATTAGCGCAAACTCACCTTTAGGAAGGGAATGACCTCTGTCATGATGGCTTTGATCTGTCGGTCCAGCTGTTGGGTGTCAATCTGAGGACAATGTGCATCTGTAGACAAATGTCCTGCACCTAATAATGGACAGACATGCAAACAATGCATTAAAACAGCCAAGCAGAGCTACTTAAAGTGGTAAAAAAATTAAGCATTTAATATTGGCAAGCAAGCAGAGCTTAAGGTAGTGCCATGAAGTAAAACCATGAAGAGCAACTCGAAACTTAAAGAAATATTGCATTCATATTTTTAAGTTGGTAAATGAGAACACACTAACAGCACATATTTGAAATGAAAACTTAGCTTGTGATTGACAGCAGGGATGGCCAGTATTTATGATACATGTATTTTAAATATGTATTTTTGTATTTTTTAATTTGTATTTTATGGGGGTTATGTCAATTGGTTTATATTTTGTATCAAAATACTTTTGTGTCTTGTGTTTTTAATAATACTGTAATATACTTTGTAAGAAGTCTACATGAGAGAGAGAAAAACAGAGAGAGAAACAGAGAGAGAGAGAGAGTATTAATTGTATTGCCATTTTAGCTTCTACAGCTATGTCATAGCAAAAAAAAAAAAAAAAAAAAAATCTGATCAAGTTTACCACATTTTATAAATACCATTTTTCTATAATTATAAAAATATTCTAACAATTAAAAGTACCAGTAATATAAAAAGACAGTATAATGCACAATTCGGCATCAGCATCTTTACTTAAGAAATGAGATGAAATAAAACATCAGTCCTTAAAAACAAGAGGAGCCTTCAGCACAATCATTCTCAGTGTTGGTGCTGCATGTGGAAATGCAGAAGAACTTACAAAAAACACCTAAAGATGCTGTAGTGGTGTTCACTAAGGGGGCAAACTGAGACTCTTCTAGTTAAAGAAGAACTGAAAAATCCTGGAAGATTGAGTATACTGTACAAATAACAGTAGTTTTGGATGGACTGCTGATGTAGATGCCAAGAAAATAAGACAAACAATATAAAAATAAGTCTAACAGTGGCGATTCCTACAATTCTTCATTGGCTGTTTCAAATGCCAGATGATCTGCAGATGCACTGTACAGTAATTAAGAGATGTCAAAATGGCACAGTACAGTATATGAGACACAAATATTTATTTAATAATACTCCAGTCTATACAGATAGAGATAAGTTTTACATTTTGCATTGAAGAGTACAGTTGCAAATAACATGATTTAGGAAAATTACTAAAACTGGAGATTTCATGCGTTTAAATCAGGTAAAAAACTACATTTATTTAACAAAAAAAAAAAAAACACCTCTTAAAACAATAAAGAGATACGGTACTATATTTCAACTCATTATCTGCATTACATGTTTTTGGTTAGTGATTAAAGAGATCACCTTCAACACAGGACTTTCTGTATGAAAATTGTACAAACGTTATGCTAAAATGAAAAAGAAAGTCAGTTTAATGACGAAGTGACTGATCAAATATGCCTATTGAGTGAAGGTTTGCGAAGAAATGTCATGCTCCCTTGGAAAAGTATTTTGGAGTATTTTCAAAATACAGTGATTGATTTTGATACATTTGTGTCTGCTGTATTTGGTAGTTTATTCTGATACACATAAAACTGAGGTACTTGGCATTTTATTTTTAAAATACATTTCAATGTATTTTTGCCCATCCTTGAATGACATTTTTTATAAATAAATAAAACATTTTAAACTGGTTCTCTGAGAGGAAAATTTCAATGTAGAGGAACTTTTGAGCCAGGTCACACAACATGCCATAAAGCAGCACATGATACAGACTTCCTAGATTGTAAAGTAAATATTTTGTAATATCACATTAAAAAAATATCTAAAAAATGTGCATTTAATTAATTATGAAACATATTTACTGGCAGTGACTATTTGTCAGAAACATTGTGAGCAAATGCAATGTAATAAGCGACTATAGACACAAGTTTTTACAACCTCCCATCCTGCTAGTTGACTGGTTTCTTTGCCATTGCGTTGGAAAACCTCATACAATGTTTCTAATGGAACGCTTCAGATAGCACATTTGACACTGTTGTATGTGTCTGTCGGGTCTGATGTGCAGTGTGACAGTGATGGCAGCAGTACCTTGAGTACCTTGAGGTGAGGCAACGGTGGCAGCAGCAATGGCAGAGCTGTGCTCAGGGTTATCTGTGTTACATTCAGCCCTCAGCTTCATGCGCTCATACTCCCTCATCCTGGCCAATGCCTTATCTAAATGAATCACTGTGTTACCTGAAAGAGCAGGAAGGAAATAAAAGGACAGAGAGAGCGAAACAGAAAAGTGTTCAAGTGGAGTATGACAGGATTCAGCCCAGCACAGCCCCAGCTTTAGCAAAGCAAGCATGATCGTAGGTAAGCAACCCCAGCCTATTGGTTTTTAGCATGAATGAGCTTGTTTGCACACAAAAAAGTGCTGTTTTCTTCTTACCCAGGTCATCACTAGCAAATGGTTCAAGGTTGGAGGACGTAGACAGAAGGCTCTCATTGTCCATGGAGTCTCTGTCTGGTACCCTCTTCAATACAGAGTTGGATTTAACAGTTACAATCTTGTCAGATGCATCCTGGAAACATAAAGGATAGAAAAACACTCAGCTTGTGTAATCATGTGTAAAAAAAAAAAAAAAAAACAACAACAACAACAGATGGAGAGCAAATTCTCACATTGTCACTTGTAGCCAAGCTCTCACTAGGCGTGAGCTCTGATTGGGAGCCTGTTGCCCATACAGCTGGACCTAAAGAGGAGGCCTGCTCATCTGCCACACTCTTCTCCGTAAGGTGTCTCGTTACAATGTCCTGGTAGTCCAGAGCCAGAGACACATAGACAAAAAAAAAAAGACAAAAAAAATAAAAAAAATTAATAATAATAATAATAATAATAATAATAATAATATATATATATATATATATATATATATATATATATATATATATATATATATATATATGCGTGTGTGTGTGTGTGTGTGTGTGTGTGTGTGTGTGTGTGTGTGTGTTTGTTTTTGCATTATCACTTGTACATAAAATATATATTACACATATATTATGCCTAAGCAATCTCTCTCTCTCTCTCTCTGTGTATATATATATATATATATATATATATATATATATATATATATATATATATATATATATATATATATATTTTTTTTTTTTTTTTTTTTTTTTTTGGATGCGATTAATTTTTTTTGCCCAGCACAAAAATTAATAAATAAATAGATGGTTATTACTAAATATAAAAACTTAAATATTTTAATAAAAATAAAAACAATAAACCACAAAGAAAACTGTCACGAAACTCTCTAAAGGGTCTACTACTGCAGTCTTAAAGCAGTTATTAAAGCTAGGTTCTGTAAGTAACAAATAGAAAAAATTCATTTTTATGACTTTATTAATAGCCATCTAGATGGATAGCACAGTTCATGGTTGTGTACGGTACCTGCAATGAGTAAAGCGCCCTCTGGCGTAGATAGTCTGTATTGAGCAGTTGAAGCTCATGGAAGAGCTCAATGAGAAAGTGAGGGCGAGACTCATTCTGAGAAATCAATGTTGCCACTTCTGAGTAGATTGTTTCTCTTAAGGCCTCAAAGAGTGAGAAATCACTGCTCACATCTACAGAAAAGAAATGTACAATACAAAAATTAAACAAAGCATTTAAGAAGTAGATCAACAACTGTGGCCACCGCTAAAGAATCTTACAAATATTTAACTATTCAAAACCTTAACATAAGTCTAAGTAAATCATTTGCAAATGTTTCAGTACATTCAAACCATTGTTCACTGAACATTTAAGGAATTTTAAAAGTTTAACACAAAACCATGCACAGACATCAATTCATTTTCAATTCAAAAGCAAACATCCATATCAAAACACAATGGAATTAAATGTTGTCATCAATAAAACTATGGATTTCCCCCCCTTTCTTCCAATGTTCTAACATAATGCTACTGTACAACAGAAAGGAAGTGCTTCTAAAGCTGTATATGTGTGAGAGATTCTACCCCTTCAAAATAAAAACACCTAGTTTATATTTAGCGCTTTTGGATGTAGTTTCTATAACAGATGAAGAAAAAGGAGACAAGGGGAACACACATGCAGAAAATGTTAGCAAATAGTTAGCACATCAAACAGCTGATGAACATGGAGTTACCTGGGACTTCAGTGCATGCAATTCTGTTAGAGAGAAAAGGTGTTCTCCAAGCATATGCTGTGAAGAAACCAAGAACAGAACCAAAAATGAAATGGGAACGAACAGAAATTAAAATGATAGTGAGTACATTTTAACAGTATATGGACACAGGGAACACAAACAAGATGCTTAAACAAAAATGGGAACATGTTGCTTCTCCTGCTACACTGCTGAAAGGTGCTTCTGAGGTTGTAAAATATTAGCAATAAGGGAGTATTCATTGTTCTGCATGTGAATATAGTGTTTAATCCAGTGAGATCTATAGCTGAATGAGATCCGTATGAAAAGTCATACCAGATGAGAGGTCGTTTGGCTTGCTGTTCTTAGTCTTGCTGTCCAGTTTTTCCTGTGTGAGCTTGTCCAACAGATCCTGGTTGAGCTCTTTATATTTGACCTGATTGGAGCGCTCTCTCTCAAAATGGGAGTCACTTGAAACACTGTCACTGTCCACAGAGGCTGAAATGGAGGATGAAAACAATAAATTAACTCTCAGGCTTTATGCAATTTTTTTCTCACCCCTTTTAAAGTCAAAAAAGTTCAATTCAGCTTTGCCAAATATGCTACATTTACAAGCATATAGCGAACTGAAATTAAGTTACTCTCAGACTCAAAAAAATACAAATAGCAGTGCTTCCTACACATAAGACTTTACTAGGGTGGGCCAGCCAAGTATATTAACAGATGACCAAGTATATTAAGTGACATTTTTTTTTACTTTTAATAACATCCTTTACACTTTTTTTTTTATATCCGCTCAATATAACCAAACATCCGCAATCGATTAAGTAGTGGAAAATCTTCACTCGTTTACCCGTTTCGTTCTGTGTGCACGTGAACTGTCAACACTCCCACAGACAGTATAACATGTATATAACAGTATAATATGCTCTGTATGCCCACAGAGATGCACCTTTTTGAGACTTCAAACCTAGCCCGGGTTTTAAACCTAAACCTAACCTCAACTTTTGCTTTCGCTTTCTAAAGCTTGTATGTGTTTTTGCATTATCTTTGTACTTAAGCCTACCTTTGATTGGCTTCGCAACTGACTGCGCACGCACTTCACTATATACTCCATGAGGTCGAAATGACTGGTCTGAACTGGCTGCAAAATATATGTACACAATTAGTAATGATTAATCAACACATCTACACATTTTAATCTTGTAATTATGGTAAGTTTTAGGGATATTGTCTCTTTTTATTCCTTTTTCTGTCATTTATTTCTCATTTGCTGATTATTTTATTAATTTATGTTAATATATTACATAGACTATTTTATATACATTTCTAAAATGCTTTAGCATTCAAGTTTGCTTTGAACTTGAAAGAGAGAGAAGCACTTTAACCCATTGAAAATAAACAGTCTATAACAGTGTCACAATAAATTAAATTCTTGTTGAAAAATAATTATGTTTTGTTTGTCGCATATAGTTAACTATATATGTGATGTGGGTAAATGGTGTGTTTCAATCCGGCAACCACCGCAAGTATATTTCAAACCTGTAGGAAGCACTGAATAGTTTTAGTAAACTTTAAGAGAGAAAAATACTATAAATAAAAATAAGGGCACAAAGAAAGTTGAGTGCAAATAATTGAAGAGTGCAGTGCAATGAGACTTTGAATTTTAAAGTGCCAGAGCTAATTTTTAAAGTCTATGTAGAAATACTATGAGTATATCAAACCAATAATGATGCAAGTCAAACTTTAAATACAGACACACCAGTGTTCTTCTGTCCCCTGCCTCTCTTCCGGCGGCTCTTCATATTGGGGGTCTTGTCTCTGGATGCCAGGCTGGCCTGTGCCGCAGCCTTGCGTCCTGCTCTGAAGGTCTTGGTGACAGTGGTTGGGTCTGCTCTGTCTGGCAGGCTGCTCATAGACTCCTGGGAGTCAGGTATATAAGAGTGATCCCGGGAGGTAGAAGGGTGAGGGACAGGAGATGAGGAAAGCGAGTTCTGCTCTCCCTGACTTGGATGGTCTGAGGTAAGAATGGGCCTCTGACTAGAACGATTCAGAGAGGAGTTTAACCAGCTGGAGTTATTAGCATCAGTCAGATTATCAGAGTGAGACTGGAACCTATAAATGGAAAAGGAGAAAAAAAAAAAGGATAAGTTTTTCTTCTTTTTGTTTTTTGAGCAAGATCCCTTAGTTGAATTAGAAGCTAACCAACATTTAAAGCAATTCTTACATTCTTTAAAAAAGAAAAATTATACCGTTTCTCTGCATTATTGAGTGGAGATCTCTGTAGTGGAGGGGGGAAGCTCATGTACTCCGTTTTGAGGGATATATTTGGATCATGATGTTGATCTGAGCTAGCCTGGTTCTGCTGGAAATCTCCAACTGAAGGGGGAAACATGGGAGTGAAATTAAAGCCTGAAGACAGAAATGAAGAAGAAAGTTATACGTGAAAATTTTTTTTTTATTAATTAGATTATTTCTCTTATATAAAGATTTAACGTTAGATGACAGACTTACCAGTTGGAAAAGGGGAGAAATTTGGAAGTCCAGGAATATTGAGTGCATTGACAGATGGGTAATTTAGAAACATTGAAGGAGATGCAGGATCATGCGCAACACTTTGATGCTGCTGTTGTCCAGATGATGACTGGCTCTGCTGCTGCCGCAACAGATCATTCAGAGTCTGCTTTAATCTGTCACAAATAAAAACGTTAGTGATAAATGAAGCCAAATGTTACAAAACAGAGTCTATTTTAATTAAATTCATCAAATTAAATTAAAAAAGTTAAATTAAATAAAAAGTTTTTACAGTATTTTAATCCATGTTGTTTGAGTATAAGAGTTCAAATGCAACATAAATGGTACTACAAATAATGGTAACACTTTCAAATAACTGTCCATTAGTTTATTTACTAACATAAACAAAATGATTAATATATTTATTAGATCTATGTTAATGTTAGTTAATGGTATTTAACATATATAATATTAGTTCATGCTAACTCACAGTGCTATAACTAATGTTAACAAGCACTACTTTGGATTTTAATAATGCATTAATAAATGCTTTACAAGATTATTGATACTTAATGTTATTAAATACATTAACTAATGGACCATTTCTGTAAAGTGTTACCCAAATATTTGACAGTGTAATTTATAGAAAAGGTTTCATTCCTAATAAGTAATATCTTATACTTTATTAAAATGAATGTTTTTCTAATGAAGTGTAAAGACACACACCGATTGACATTGTTCTGCTGCCAAGCCAGCTGTGTGTAACACTGGTTTAGCTGGTGCATGATGAGAGGGACCTGAGGAGAGGTCACATTATTGGGCACAACACCGCAGGGGCCAGTGAGCAGAGCCTGCAGCATGTATGAAAGTGTCTACGGAGAAGAAATAGGATGTTAGTGAGATGGGGAAATCAAGACGTTGACAAAATCCATTTTTGTACACTCTCACCTGCTGATCCTGAAGCAGAGTTTGGCACATGGTAGTGCTGAAGTTGAGTTGTTTCTGGAGGTGTGTGATCTGCTCCTGCCAGTGTGCTGGTGCAGCACCTTCAGCGAGAGACAAATCAGCTGCCCATCGCAGGTTCTCCTGCCTCTTCGCTTTGCTAGAACTTCCTCTCTCAGACTGCGGCTGCTGACGAGAACGACCTCTTGATCCACGAGGGGAAGGACTCGTGTTAACTTCGCTGAGAACTTTCAGACTGCAAAATGTTAAAGGCAATTAATAAGAGATGGTGTAGATTTCCTATACAAACTTAAAGCTTCTTTAGTGTGAGCCTTTTATTTACCCCTCTCTGTTATTCCTGTTGTAGTTGCGTTGTTTTTGTGTAGAGCAAGCATGCCGTTCATCGGTGGAGCTGGACTCCTCTCCCTCATCACGTTCATCATCATCATCTTCCTCAGCTCCGACCTCAGATGAGTAATCATCATCATCATCATCACCAAGAGGACACTGTGTAGAACCACCCCATGTGGCCACCGTTCTAAAAGAAAAATTATGATTAGCAACAATTGCCATTGTGTCAGCGAGCTGAGAAATGTGAAGGCCGTTCGTTACCTTTCATCACGACTGTAGGACTGGGTCTCGTGTGTGTCGCTTCTGAATGGAGAGTCAGGAAGTGTGCTTCTCCTTTGCTGCTCTGCCATCAGACTCTCCAATTGTTTCCGTCTCTGTCTCAACTCCTCACGCAACATCTGGTGCCTTCGCATCTCTGTCCACAGCTAACATAAAAATATACTTTTAGATTAACAATAAAACAAAAGTTACTTTATTAAAAAACGATTTAGAAACCATCTTTTGCCTGCTTACAGATAGTCCTTCTCCAAAAGTACAGCCCAACATATTCTAACATCATGATGACAAAGGTGAGCTGCTGTTTATTGCAATTGATGTGCGCTGATTAATAATTTAAATTGACATTCAGAACCTATAATTGATTTAATTTTCCCTAGTCGACTTTTAAAAAATAATTTTTCCTACCACCTGTGGTCACGTGAGGCTAATCTGTTAAGGCTGATTGTTGTTGTTGATTCTGCGACGAGAGTATGTGTATGATCCGGCGTAGCCTTCATGCAGTCTCATACCCGTGCACCTCTCAAAAATGCAACTGCACATTGCGACGAAGTGTAGCTAAGCTCTGTGATTGGTTAGTTTGGTAGCATTAACCAATGGTACCATGGTATGGGCGGCACAGAGAGCTGCGGGACAGCATACAGCCCGTTGGAGCGAGTGTTTACAAGTGTGCGAGCCCCATGGAGAAGCTCCAGATGGAAACTTTTGTTGAGTGTTTACCTTATGATTAAAGTTGTTTCACGTCCGCCAGCTCCTGCCTCTAAACGAACGACTTTTAGCTTCTTGTACATTTAGGTAGCGTTCAGAAAAATTTAAACTCTCACGAAGATACTTGACACAGAGGAAAATAAAAACCCAGTGCCAGCTAGCGTTTCTGAAGTATTACTGCAGAGCAACACAAACAGCGCACAGGAGTTTAAATGCACGGCTACGCACAAAGCAAGGACGATCACTCGACGCAAAAGGCTTTAGAGACTTTAAAGGCTGATTTATATACTTTTGCGGCCAAATCTGATCTCTGGTCAAGTAGGATGATGGACCCATTCTTGAGCCTTACTTTGGTACAGCTTACAATCATTGTCAATGTAGAGCAGAGATGCCTTGAGATTACACAAAAAATTGTATTTACATTAAAATATTTGTTTTTAGAAGATGCAAGAAATGCACTCTCTAAAATATTATTTACAGGATATACAAAAGTTATTTTATTCAGAAGATAATTTTTATATGAAAAGCGATGAAAATAATTTATTTTGTTTCCAAAAGTGAAACAAATTATTTATTTTCACTTCTATTATAAGAAAAAATGGCTGTTCATTTTAGGCAATGTGTGTTTTAATTTTAGTTGATCAACAGTAATGCTTAATAAATAATTATAGATAGTAGTGTGGGTTTCCTTAAATTATTGTTTAAAAAAAATCAAGTAATGCACACTTCATTTTAAAATCTCACACTTGTAATACGTCAGGATATTTAACTGTACAAAAATTGTCAGTGAACTGTGAAGGCAAAAAATAAATAAAATAATCGTTCATTAATCATAATCGAGTTAAAATGTTCAATTAACTGAGATTTTGATTTTAGGCCAAATTGCCCAGCCCTAGCTCTGATAAATGTTTACATTAGCTAAAAGCTTAAATTAAACAAAGATGCAGATTATTAACACAACTTCTAATAAACCATTCAAATTTAAACATTTCACAGGATTGGTAAAAATAAATAGACTTTAATCATCAATACACCATGATGACTTGATAAGACACAAGGTAGAAGTCATTTATCACCGTTTTAATGCATACCATCACTTTACAAACTTATTTGATAAATAAACGAAAGCAACATTTTTATTTGGATTCCACACTAACCTCATTGTCAGTGACGGTGACTGGAGGAGGTTCAGTTGTGGGTTTGAGGCCACTAGTGTTGGCTTTAGCTGAGGAAGAAGATTGTAATGGAACAGGAGCAGGAGTAGAGGCTGCTGCAGGAATCTTCCTGCTCATTTGACCACTGGCACTACTGCTCACAGATGACTGAAAATACATGATAGAAAAAAAAACAAATAAAACTTTCAGCAGATTTGAGCTGTGCGTTTATGGTAGCAACCTCCTGTAATTCAAAAGTGCACGTGTGTGAAGTACCTGAAGATCAGGGCAAGCCCACTGTATGTCCTGTATCTTCCCCTGAATCTCCAATAGTCTCTGTCTCTCTTCATGAAGCTGCTTTAGTTCATGCTGCTGCTGCTTGAGTTTCTCCTCATACAATCTCTCTCTAAAAAAACAAACATCACAAACCATTTCACACAGGTCTTTTTACTGCAGCCTAATTACTATGAGGAACGCACACCAACCTGGCCTTATCACAGAGGGCAATGTCTCTCTGAGCTTTGGGAGCTGTTGCTCGTGTGTTGTTGGGTTGTTGCTTCAAACCCTCATCCTCATTAGCTGTAGTACCATCTGTATCGTCGCTCTATAGAAACATTACCAAAAAATGTTGACAAAGAAAGCTCCATTCACACTACATTTGCACGATGAATGACTAGAATATCACCTGCACCATAGCCACCAGTTCTTGAAGTTGTCTGAGTTTCTGTTTGGCTGTTTGAAGACGGTGAACTTTCTGAGCATACTCTGCATCACCGCCCAGACTGCTCCTATGACTAGATCCCGAACCATCACTGTCTCTACCTCCTCCTCCTCCTCTAGCTCCATCGTCATCCTCCAGCACCTCCTCATCATCCTCATCTTTAACTCCAACGTAAGGCCTGTCTCGGTTGTGCTGACATTCTGAAGTGATTACAATGCAAAAAAAGAAGAAAAGTGAATATACTAATGGTTTGAAGTCTTGTTAACACAGCATGTTTTTAAATTTCAGAGTGTGAGGCTTGACCTATGACTGAAGGGATGTTGAGACTGCGTAGGTTGGCTGCTGAGCGATTATTGATTTCACATTCTGTGTTCAGGCGGCCATCTCTATTATTGGAGGCACTGCGAGTCTTTGTCAAACTGTTCATGTCCATCCAGTTACTTGGAGTCTGTGGTTGGGCTGGATTTCTACAAAACGAGTTAGTTTCTAATTAAACAGCCAGTTCACATTTTTTATACTGTACCCTGATAATTCAAAGCAAGAAACTCAACACACAAATGCTCACTTTAATACACCAATGAAAAGGATTTCATCTTTATACCTGATGTTGGTAACTGGTTCGTGGTTCTCCTGCTCTGAATCAAACATGGCCTCAAAAAGTGAACCGTCCTCAGTTTCCTCATCCTCCTCCTTCACATTCTCATTTACAGTATCCACCACCATATCTGATGTCTGTTCATAATACTGAACCAACTCTCTTAGTTCATTCAATCGCTTGTGCACCTCCTTCAGCTTCCTGCATTGAGTGACAAAGCAGTGATCAAATACACCGAGCTGCAAAATTCAGCAATATCCTTTAAAACAAACACTGATGTGATATTGAATGACATGACATTCTAAACCTGAGTTTGTCAGCAGAGTGGCTGTTATCATCAATCTGCGTGTAAGAGGATGAGCCCTGCCTTACTGGACGTGGCCCATTTCCCTCTCTACCCAAAACTGAAGGACGCTCTGACATGCCTACACGTGCACTACGCTGGCTGACACTCTGACCTAAGGAAAAACAAACACATTTACAATTCAACAATTAATCTTAAGGAAAAAGAGACAGTAATCCTTTTAGATGCGTGTGCTGTGTGAGGAAGGGAGGCTTACAGGAACTGTTGTTGAGGGTCTGGTCTCTAAGTGAATGGAGTTCTTGGAGGATCTTGTCCATGGTCTGCTTTTTGTCCTGTAGCTCCTGTAGTTTAGAAAGTTTTGCGCTGTCTGAGGTTGATGCAGTAGTTAGTGGGGCAGAGGAAGGTAACTGACCCCGGGAATTATGGGTAGTGCGTGAGCGGCACACCTCTCTTGAAAGAGAGAGGCATTCTGCCTGCCGTCGGTTGTCTGGAACCACCTGAGACTGAGAGAAAGACATTTAAAATGTTATTTAGTGATGCTTGAACAATTAAAAAAACTCAAAGTAGCTTAACATTAAATTAAATACTATATAAATGTAATGCGGTTATATTATGAGTTCTATTTGTCGTACAAAGAATCAACAAGTTACAGGCGAGTCAAAAAAACTGCTTTTACACATGATGGCAAAATAACAAACTGCAAAGTACCTCGTAGTAGTATATTAACCAACATTTAATTTTGGAACTCTACAACTTTTATTCTTAAATTGTAGCAATCTGTCTTATATATTTGGGAACACAAATTATATTCAAAAAAATTGTCTGGTTCACTGTCTGGTATACCTGAGAATCATGTAGCTGGTTATGAAAGCGCTGGATAAGATCATTGAGTTCATCATTGAGCTCAGAAGTAATGCTCCTGCCAGACACACTTCCAGTAGTCTCTGTAACAACTGTAACACGTAAAACAAATGTAGAACATGTAGAATAAAAACAGAAGCAATTCTAACTTCTAGAGGCACAGATCCCATCTTAAACATCGCTCGTACCAGTGTCATCCATCACTGCTATGGCTAGTTCAGCACTTTGCTGCATGGCCAGTAGTGCAGCTTGACGGCCTTGTAGTGCTCGGAGTTGTTCCTGCTGTTCCAGCATCTTTTTTAGCAAGTCATGCTGCTTTCGCATGTTTTCTAGCTCTTCTTTCTGCTCTCTACAGACCCCATGGCCCTAAAAGAGAGAACGATTTTAATAGGGCAAAGAGCAAGTATCAACATATGGAACCATATAGCAACATATAGCAAGATGCTGAGATTCAAGGTTGTCAGAGACATTGCTGTCAGCTAAGGTCTAGGCTCAACAATAAGCATCACCACTGGCCAGATGCCAGAGCAAAAGACTTTCAGAACAGCTGACATAACGTGCAAAATCTTAAATTAGCTTATCTTTACAGAATCACAGATTTTATGTCTCAACAATAACCTAGGATTTATCTTATGTTTTGGGCACTCTTGGTATGAATTCTGATCATTTTAAAATTACATTTAAGGGTAACATTTAATATGTACAGGCATTTAACACTTAAAGCAATCTAGCAATCTTGAAGCATCAGTGAAGATCAATCAGATATCATTTTGACACTTAGACAGTCATTTCTAGATATTACTGTAAGCTTAAATGTATTCAGTAAAAAACTAGTACATTTTATTATGGCAGATCAAACTACTGCCCTGGCCAGGTCAGCAGGGAATACCGCCACCGTTGACATCATATTACACACAAAAGAGAGGGAAAAAAATGAATCATATAAAGCAAAAGACTCAGATATTCCACAAGCACTAAACCCCAAAGCAGCTGGTTATGGATCAGTAATTAAGATATACTGTCCTATTCTAAAGCTCGCTTTTCCTTTGTGGAACTCCCTTCCGTTTTATCCTCAAATGAACTTAATAAATGTATAAGGGCTGCTGTTTATAATTTCAGCATTAATATCACAAGCTGACCAGGTGCTACAGTTTTGAACACATTTTTGTGGAGTCATTGCAAAAAAATGTTTAAAGTGAAATCATTTTTATGTGCTTTTAAGGCCTGACATTGTATTATCATTTTGCAATGCCAGATCCAGCCCTACCAAGATTTATGTTCCTGAATAACAATATTAGACTGCCCTTGCAGTCAAGTAAAACAGTAAAAACAAAAAGAAATAAAAAGTTTGTAAAGAGGCAGCATGACTCTTACAGTTCCAGGAAATCTGTCAGCATGACATTTCTTTCAGCAGCCTGCTAAATCTCACCAAAACATTAAACATCAAAATGATATACACTCAAATTAAAAGCAATTATGTTTGATATAAAAGTCAGTTAACAATTTTAACTAAATGTAATCTTAAACTTAATCATCAAAACTAAATTTTTTAAACAACTTGCCTGACATTCAGTGACAAACTAAAAACATACAAGAAAGCTCCCATTTGCAGGAGTCAAGGAGTTTTTGTAAGCCATCTTTGCTGACTAAGCATAAACTTCAGATTATCATAAATATTCTAACAGATTAAATCAGACTACTACTCCATTTCATCTAGGATTTCAGAGCAGTTTTTCAAGAGCAGTACAACTTTTACTATCTTACATGTAATTGAAGTTTTCAAGATTATGGAAAATAAATAAACTTCAATATAGTATTTCTCACTTGAACTGAATACAGTCTTCACTGCATAAATATAAAATATGTCCATGTTGTATACTTTTTGTAGCTAGATCATCAATAGCAGACAGCAGCAGGTTATTAGATGGCTGTCATTTTAGGACCTGGATGGATTTTCTCTCCCAAATGTTTGCTTTTTACAAGCACCTTTGTTTAGAAAGGCTTTTTGACATGGTGTGCATTTTGACCATTAAAGTGCAGACACTGAGGCCCATGTTCTGAACCATCACACCTCAGCATGCACTCAGAACTAGTACTGGATTCAGATCTCTTTCAAAGCTGGGTTCTGAATAAATAATTTTAATTGTAAGCACTTTCTGTTCTTTAAAGTCTTGCCCATCAACATTTCAATAACTTAAAAGGTATTGAAAAAAAGATTGTGGAGACGTTCAAAATCAAGATGGTATAAAATTGTCAGATCGCTCAACCCTACTTTACATTCCACCTTGCATGCCCTGTACATTGTGATGATCAATGTTCAGTTCAGGCACCAAGATGTCAGAAAGAGCCTTTGTGAGTACTCACAGTGGCACTGGAGGTTTCAGAGCGCGGCTCCAGGTTCAGAGATGTGCTCTCGGCCACCGAGCCTGAACCTACTGCAGAATCCACCGTAGCACCTTCATCATCATCATCATCCTCATTTTCCCTCGCCTGTAGAGCGTAGGGAGGAGGGGGAGGGCTCAGAAAAAACCCAATTTAAAAACTAGCCCATACTTGCAAAAACTGCTACATTTTAGAATTTAAACGGATATAAACTGAACAGGAAAAAGGCAACAGCACAACACAAATGATCTGGTTATTAGATATTTTTCCATTCAATTTCACACTCAAAAACATTACCATGCACAGCTACTGCAAGTGAGGTCACAGTGAAGAGCAAAAGCATGCTGAGGGGAAGAAAGACGACATGTTGCCCTAGATTTGGGCTCCACATTGATCAAGCCAGCACCACCAAGAACAAAGCCTAACACTGCATATCTGTGGTATGATTCAGGTTATTAAGACTGCTGGCCAGGTTTAAGCAACCTCTGAACAGACACCAGACACATTTCAGATGAGGTGCTCTGTATTTGTTTGGCTTGGCATTTATTTCTCTCAACAATACAACATACTTTTTTTTCTCCCAAGTTATTTAAAATGACTTGTATATAACTAACATTGAACTTAACATTGAATTATTGTCTTTTGTCATTTATTGTCAAGTTCCAGTCAACATCCAGTTACCTTAAATGAATACATTTAAATGAGTTTTACTTTTAGCAGATTTCAAACTGCACTAAAGTCCCCCAGCAATGTAAAAAAAATTAACTCAAAATACTCAACTCCATTCTAATATGCCATTTTTTATTGTTTTTTCCAGTGGGTTTTAAGAATGCACCAAATGAATGATATTTACATGCATGATGAGCTTTAATTAGCTTTTTGTATTACTGTTATTATTTTACTTTTCTTTAAAACAACAAATAATTCGCCTCTGACTGTAACAGGTACAGATGTTATAAAGCCATTAAAAATAAAAACAAGCATTAACTTTCACAGCCCTATATTGGATGCTTAGGCAGTGGACAGTAGGCCTTAGAAGGTGTTGTTGTTTAGATCAGATGGAATTTTATACTTTTGTTAATATTAACAAAATTTGCATGCCTGTTTAGTATGTATTTTACATGTATCAGCCACTGAAAAAAACCTACAGTACCCGAACCTTAAATTAATATCATGCTCATACGATCAGCCTAAACAAAGTTCTATTTCCCCTACTGGCAGTAACGGTCATTAGGGTGCATATAAAAGAACAACTTTATAAAAAACAAATAAAGAAAAATACTGACCAGCATCTTTTGAAGAAAACGCAGGTAAGATTTCTCCTGCTCTTTCAAGTGAGTGATGAGGAGAGACAGACGTTCCACGTTTGCAGGCACATCGTTCTTTTCCACCAGGTCGTCTCTCATGGATGTGGCCTTGCCAATGTATTCACGAATTTGCACCAGTTTACTGACAATCTGAATTAAAAAAAACAAGCTGTGTGAATAAACAGGAGCACAAGAAGGAAGAAATGCTAAAGAAATGAGCAAAAAGGTATGCAGACTGAGAAAAAGAAGGAAGTGAACAAAAAAGACAGGGAAGAGAAGAGAAAGAGACCTAGGAAGAGCTCTCACATGGACAGTGGCATATTTTTAAACTGGCCTAAATTCTGAGCGCTCACTGACACATCTGTGCTCCAGTTTTTGCTCAGCAACAGCGGTGAGAATGTTCTAATGAATATAGTAGTGTACAGTCTACTTTTATTATTTGAAAAAGCAGATAATTTTAAAGGCTTTTACAACGGTCAGCTTGCTATTCTTAATAAACAGAGATATCAGTTTTACAATAAAAATAAGTAGAACAGTTGATTCACATACTTCACAAACATTGTGTTCACGCATCATGTGTATGCCGGGTGCAACCAACAAGTGTTGTGCTGTTTAGTTTACCTTAAGCGTGCTGAGCAATTCAGTGTTTTTAGTTAAATATCTTGTGTTAAAACGGCACATTCTCTCCAGCTCCCATTTATAAGCAGAGGGCAGGAGAGATGGCTTTACACACCAACATTCATAATCTTAGCTTTTGTATTAACATGTAATTTATTTATTTTCAATATGCTAAATTATTTGTCAAACCATTTTATATAAAAAAAAAACATATTAAAACTGCAAAACAGAATAAAAAGTAGGTCTAATCAAGGAAATTTAATTGATCCGAAACTTAATTAGATTTTTTTTTTTTTGTAAATTATAAAAGTTGCATCATATCAATGACAACAAACCTGAATACCTTCATGAACAGGACCAAAATTAGGCTACTTTTTTTTTTTTTTTTACATTGGAACAATTGTATACAGTGTCTTCTGACAGCATGACTAGCAAACACGTTGGAAAAAAACTGCTGAATCTCCGTGAATATTTGGTTAATTTAGAAAACAACTGTTGTGTCTTTTAGTAATGTTAGGAATGCACAGAAAAATGCAAAGCACAATTCTCCTGAGCTCATTAGCCCACTGATGACAGCCACTTTGTAGTGACTTTTAAGGTGGTTAATTAGGTTTTTTGTCTTGTCCTGGGATGTTTGGATTCAACAGAAGCAAAAACTACCTGATCAACAACACATTCCTAGAAAAATACATGATGCATGTGACGCAGTACTAGGGTTGTTACAATATACCGGTATGACGGTCTACCACGATTTGAACGTGCACGATTATCATACCATGAACAATTGCATATCACCGGTTTTAACCCTTAAAGACCGAGACAGCCACCCGCGGCTAAAAATAAGTATTGCTCTTAAATGTTTAATAACTTTTGATCCGCTGATCCCATTCATACAATTCAAAGATTGGCATAAAGAAGAGAATCTCAGCTTTCCAGTGCTGTATCACATAACATTCGCGGACTTTCAGAGGCTCCGAAATCAGTGCGGTTACGTCATCAAAATTTGACAACGCTGATTTGACAAAGAAACGCTCGTCACTGTGTCTCCGGACAAACCAGACATGATACATTGATGCATTGTCCCTCCTCCATGCCCAGATTGGTTCAAACTCGCTATATCACAACCAATAAGCATAGGTTTCGCTTTTGTTTGTGGACCAACAATGAGCTTTTTGAACAACACGGAATGAGAGATAGGCATACATTTATGCGCGGCTAAAAACGCAAAAAAAAAAAGTTTTGCATGAAATAATTCTCATACTAAGTACTTTTGCATGCACAGCAGCACAGAAACATGACAAAACAGTGACACAGCAAAGACGAACTGCTGCTCTTGCTGTTTTCAAAAGGCGCAAATGAAGGTGCAGCTGTTTGTCTGCATTGCAGACAACCATATCCAAATCCATATCCACAGACAACCATATCCATGCTGGCACATAAAACCTAAGGATGTTCCATATTGAATCTAGTTTCGTTATGTAACTATTTATAGTATAGTAAATATTTATATCTATTTTTTTACTGAGGATTTGCACCATGTTTATTTGGACTTTATTTGGACTTTGACACATTATTTATTATTTTCTTATTTTTTTATTTGTTCATTGTAAGTGGTGTTGTTTATAGTAACTGAAAATATATTATTTGGAAAAAGTTAAATTTGCTTCACTGTTCTATTATTTTGTAACATTTGTAACATACCGTATACCGCGAAACAGTCAAACCGTGGTATTGTTTTAGACGATTATCATACCGTAAAAAATTCATACCGTTACAACCCTACGCAGTACAATCCGTAAACTTTACCCATTAAAATAATGGCTTGACTTTTATACCGTAAAATTGCAATGATTTTAATTTATTGATCGTGGGCCACAAATATTGTTATTGTGACAATAATATGAATAATTGTTCAGCCCTAAAAAAATAAGTGTTAAAATCTGATCCAGATTGTTAATGATGCATCACAATATCCTGACTAAATTAATTCTAAAAAGGAAGTAACTATAGAGCCAAAGAGAAACACAAATGCACACAACTCAAGACATTACTAAGATATTAAACATCTTAATTACCTGACTGCTGTCAATGGAAAGCTCTCCCCTCGCATCCTCCAATCCCAACCTCTGGGCACCGTCCAGACTAAAAGGTTCTTTAACTACTGCTGGAACTGGGGCAAACAGCTCTTTCCCAGGACTCTGTTTCTTGTGTTCCTTGCCCCCAGGTGTGGAAGAGGTGGATGCAGTGGGCTCTTTGCTTTTGTTAGTGTTGAGGTGAATTGGCAGAAAGTTGAAAGGTTTCTTGGCCTCAGTAGACAGCTGTCTTTGATTGTTGGCTGCAGTTACACGGCCTTGAGAATCACTGCCAATACTTCTCTGTTGGGATGAAAAGTGATATTTTGGATTACCAAATTATGTCTCTGACATTTGCATTTCCTTTTTGAAGCTGGCCTGAATTTGATGGTGATCTATTTGAGATTAAGGGCTTGCTTCTGAGAATTTGCTTCAGAACAAGTTTAATTTCATGAACTTCCTGTCTTCCTGCATGAACTTCAGCCAGATCGAATGCGTAAGTGAAAGCGTGTCATAAACTTAATCCTTTTATAAAGCTCCACTCACCTCATCCAAATCAGTGAAGTTTATGACCTGCCGGAGTCTGTCAAGCTCAGCCTGGTCAGGCACAGACATCTGAGTGCTGTATTTGACATGAGGAAAAGAATGGGGTGTACGTGCTCTCCGTCGCCCTGCTCCAGGGGTAGACTCTGGAGAAATGTCATTAGTTAGCCTGCTCTCTGACATAGCAGAGAACTTCTTTCTGTTCTTCTCAGATGAGCGGTTGGCCTTCTTCTGCTGCACTCCCCAATCCTGAAAGAATGGTGAACCAACATTTATAAACCATACACAATCAGAAAGTTTTTTTGAAGTTTTATTTGTCAAGCTAAATTAAGGGTGCACAACAGCTCTCAAATATTTAATGTTACAAGAAAACGTCCTCCTCAAACTGCCAAATAAGCTCGTCTTTCTATCATCACAAACTCAGTTATTTAAATGGCATTTTTGTCGAATCGAAAAATATTTTTAGGATTTATTATGACACAAAATATCAGTAATACTCCTTTTATCTTTTTAGGAATCTTGGCAAAATGTACTGCCAGCAAGTGGCTAAATCAGACTACAGAGGTTATCAGACACCATAAAGGTCATAACGAGGAACAGGAAATCACATCTATACACTAGTTCAATTCAACAACCTTGTGTGTTTATACTCACACCACTCCAAGAGTTTTGGAAAGCTTTACAGTGAAGATACATACAGATACAGTTCATATCTAATATAGTTAGTTCATATTGTCATATATGATAATGAAAGCTTTTAAAAATCATAAACTTTGCTGGTAACTGAGCTTATTGTCTGCACTAATCCAAAAGTAAACGAAAATCTCCTGCTGGCTGTTTGCTGAGGGAACCAAGGTGATATCAACTTCCGTGTTGGCCTACAAAACATCTCATGCCAGCAGAACTCTTACTCCTCCTGTTACAAGAAAGTGCGAGATCCAGAACCGAATCCTACCATATTGTTGAGTCTATCATCCAAGCTTCCATTGGAGATGGTCCAGTTTTGCATCTCCTGCTCATCTGTGCCATCTTCAAATGGAGTGCCACCCGTTGCCATGATGAACAATCAGAATCTGTAGAAAACAACCATGTATTCTTACACAGACTTAACCAAAAGAAAAATATATACCTTTAATCAATCTTTTTAGTTTCATGTGGAAGGCTGAAATTTGACCAGCTGCCAAAAATTATTTAAAATGCATATTTCATTCAAATTTCAAATGTCATCATTTACTCTCACTTTAATTAATCCAAACCTGTTTGACTTTCTACTGATGAACAGAGAAAACTTTTTTTGAAGAAAACTGTAAATCTGTAACCACTAACTTTAACAAATTAATAGTTTTAATTAATAATTTTCAGCTTTTTTAAAAACAACTATTGGAACCTCTAAGTTAGGTAAAAACAAAGATTATAGAATACACGAGACATGTCACTCGTATCTTTTTAAATGGGGAAAAGCGTAACAGTCAATATGGCGAATAAAGCCCCACCGTATTCACCTTATTCTCCGCCGACGAGTGGGCGCTGCCATTTGAATCTTTTTGGCTTGAGACTTCCGGTCTCATTCACTTCCATTCATTTTTTTACGTTAAAAACTGCTCGTTACGCAGCTTGATGTTGCAATTTGATATTTTCTTGTTATATTATTCTACTTGGTCTGTATTGTCATGCAAACATTTGTTTGTAGAGCAACTAGTTTGACCGTTTTCTGCCGTTTATTATTCCTAGTCATTTCTCCAATAGGCGACTGAATCGGAAGTTCTACGACAATCGCGAAAACAGGCGCACTTCCGCATTTTAGAATAAGGTCAATAGTACTGGAGCCAGGCCCGGATTGGCTAATCGAGAGAACCGGGAGAATTCCCGGTGGGCCGGTCTGTTTTTTGGCCACGAGGGCCGGTGTCCCTAGCTGCTTGCACTCTCAGCAGTTGCACTTTTTTCATTTATTTATTTATTTATTTGACCATAGCCTCATTCTTTTTATTCATTATTTTGCTGCAGCTCCACTCTTTTTATATTTTTTTTCCCTCGCAGCCCCGTAAACAAAATGCAGCCTGCAGATTATTAATGATGTAACTATCATCATTCGACTCTAAACAGCGGCACCTTAGTGAATGTAAGAATTTGAATAATTAATATGGATTAATAATACACCTGCTCAAAGAAAATCAGATGATTCACTACATTAATAAATCTGACATAACTTGATCAGAAATCTAAAAAGGAGAGAAAAAGATTAAGCCATCAATAAAAGTCTTGCAGGTCATAGTGCAATATATGTTTTTCATTCCAGCCATATTAGAATGAATTGGAAATGACCTTATTTTAATAGTCAGTCGTGAACTGAGATGGGCCGGTCTAAGGCTTGAAACTCCAGGGCTGAAAAGGAGTCCCACTCCGGCCCTGACTGGAGCCAATCATCAATCACTATATGGCGAATAAAGCCCACCTTCTAGTACAGGAGCAAATTATTGTTCGCTATAGACTGAGGGTGCTTTCTCACCTACACTTTTGTTTCGGAACATGTCTCGTTTGCCCAGTTATCACGGTTCGTTTGGCATATGTGAACAGGGCAATCGCGCTCTGTTCCGCGCCAAAGTAATCGCTCCGAGATTGCTTGAATTAGGTGGTCTCGGCTCGATTGAAACGAAGCCTAGAGCGGTTCGATTGCAGTGAGAAAGCGATCCGATCGGAGCGCGGTTATATCACAGTGTTTTATGGATATTTAATAGGCTTCCGGCTATATGAAGAGAGAATTATAAGTATGGCGGGAAGTTTCGCGACTCTCCGGATGCCCGCAAACGAGTAATGATCTCCCGGTAATGTCGCGTCTCCCTTTTCGGTCCCCAAATAGGCATCGTCGCACACCCTTCTCACCCCTCCCCACCGCATCTCTCCTCAGACATGTCGCGCATCCGCGCACCCTGTCAATCACCACCAAACCACCACCTCTCCTGACAGCTTAGCGGGACGCTGCAAAATAAACCCTGACACTCTGAGCAATGTAAGGAGAGTTTACTCGCACGTGACTTGTTTTAGCTCTTTTGGTCCGATTAGAAACTTTGCAGTGTGAAAGCGAACCGCACCAAGAGCAAAGAGCAACAATGTAACAATTGTAATCTCTGTTTCAGAACAACTGAATCGATTCACAGGTGTAAAAGCACCCTGACAATACTTTGGTGGAGGGGCTCAAACCAGAGGTGAGTTTCTGCAGAATTTGAGTGAATCGAGCATTTAAAAATAAAACTAAAGGGACAGTTGTTATTTAATTTTATAGATGATTCCTAATATGAAATTCAATCATAAGCTTGGCAAGCAGTTCTGGAGAATTGTTTTCCCAATCAAACAGAATACCCGAGCATACTGCCTGAGAGGATTTTCAAAGAGGGCCACAGAGTAAAAAGACTTGCATTAAAGGGACTTTGGTCTAAAACTTGGAACCTGTAGGTTGAGTAAATTTTCATTTTTAGGTGAACTATCCCTTTAACATGCCAAACTAGCATAACAGCATTAACCTGAAAAACTTTTAAACAACTAACAGTTATACAACACTTTAATTGAAATACAGAGAAATGTTTGTTTTGCTGCGTAATTTTACACAGTAAAGTTCGATTGGAGTCAAATTTTATTTAATGTTTTGCTCTGACTGCAAAAATGAGCCCATTATGTTGAGCGCAGATATGAGCTCAAAAATTTGTCTAAATTTCATTAATAAGTGTATAGAAAGATTGCTGATGATATATGAAGCACAATCGGTTGGCAAGTATATCGCGTGGATATGTTTGTAAATCTAACTTTTGACACCAGCCACAAACCTCACCGCACGTCACTGCTTTTGATAGTATTAACTTTCGTGTAAAAATAGTGTTGCTTCATCTACCGGAGCTACAATTATTAATAGTTTTGTCTGTAAAGTTTTATTATTATTATTACAACTATTATTATTATTATTATTATTATTATTATTAACGTTATATGGCCTTTTAAAGTCTCAGTGGCCATTGACTAACATTTGTGAATCACCAAGGACCACTGATAATCTCTAACTTTACTGCAAAAATATAGCCAAAGTTACATCTTGGACATTACCAGCAAATCTATCACATATATTACCCTTTAAAAATGCATTTGAGGGACATTTTATTGTCAGTTGTGCCACAAGTCCCCATTAAGTTGTGACGCTGACTTATAATACCATTTAAAAGTCATGTAGAAACTTACAAATGTCCAGTAACGTTAAAGGCAATACAACGATACGTTATAATGTTTTTATATAAAATGTTAGTATGATAACGTTATTGAATAACTGTTGTTTTCGAGCTAAGATCATATATAAACGTTAGTCCTACACTGACAGCAAATATACGATTAATGTTCAAAAATAATAAAATACATAATGTCATTTTATTCTAATTGTAACTTAACTTACTTTCGAAAGCTGAAGTCCTTGCTTTAGTCCCCTTGAGCAAGTAACGGTAACGTTACACGGGTCTGGAAATTGGTCTCGTTTATGAGCGGCAAGTTAAGTTAGATCCGTTGAATCGGTTGACGAGGTCAACTTGATCAATTTCCCTGCTAACTGTCAACACTCGCTTCTCTCCATGCTCCCACCTATGTAACGTAAGGAGAAACTCTGCTGAACACGTTTTCTTAATATTTCTGGACAAACCCGAATGGTTAATACCGGAGTTTGGGGTGCAACCCCCTCACAAACATAAAACAGGGATTTTATGGCGAGTAACGTTAAAGGTTTTGGGTCTGTCACTATGGTAACCTCTGGCACGAAACAATCCCCGCGAAAACTCCCGGCTAAAAAATGAATCCCAACCAAAAACAACAACAATTCATCTAAACGACTCAGGTCTAGTTAATAAAAACAGTAAACATTAAAGTCTGAAGCTAAATGTCAAATAGGTTTGAGAGCGTAATTAATTTTTTTACCACATTTCGTGTCACTAAACTTGTCCACCTGACACAAAGGCATCTGACCGGTGCATCACTCTGAGACAACACGAGCCACTTCGGCCACCCTCAAGCATTCCAGATACATTCGTTTCATTTTAAAATGTTGTAAATGTTAATCAAATGATAGCAAAACCTTCACAATTGAGTGAAAGTTCATTCCAGGAAACGAAATAAGCTGAAATGTATTAAAATAACTTTCAATTTCATGTGAGGGAGCTAGCAAGCTAACAGAAGTTGAGAGAGAAACAACTGAAAGAGCAAATCTAGCTTATTGATTTAACTTACTGAATATTTACCGAGCTTACCTTGAACGTTGTGGCGAACTCTTACAGTAGCACAAAAATAATTCCCATATGAAGCTCTGTAAAAACCCAAGATAAAGTGTCAATGCGTAGTGTGCTTTCCACTCGAAGTGACTGCATCTCCAGTGGCAGCCATCTTTACCCCATATCCAAACAAACCGGCGGAAGAACATCGCTCTCATTTTCAATAAAGCATAATTTACCCTGAGTTTCTTTCGGCTTGCTATGTGCTTTAACATTAAATTTTATATGTTTGTATTTCAAGATGAGGTAATCAAAAATGACAAGCTAATCAATAAATTAAGGCATTAAAAAGTGGCACTACTTTACTTCTCGGAAGCATCTTGAACAATTGAAGAAGTGTTGCGCGATGTCTTAAAAGTACAGATGCAAAAAATGAGACTGATGGAATGATGGAGTGAAACTGCAAAATAATTAAGCATTTTTAAAGAACACTTATGGATCGGAAGATAAAATATTAAATAATGTCAATTAATAGTTAACGAAACATGTTCACATAGATTTTTTCCATGAAAATAAAAAAGCAACGTCAAGGGCAAACCCTTGTACAACTGCAAGGTTAAAATGATAGTATCACAATTGTTTTATTTTTAAAAGTGCATAGACAACCCAATGACTGTAAAAAATAAAAAAAATAATAAAAAAAATTTAAAACGCCAACCTTATTGTTTTTACATAGATTAAGACATAGGTTCTTGATCTTTGTGTTAGAAATCTGCAGGGCCTAGAACAATATTATTGGTCTTTATTGTTTTAATAAAATAATTTAATAATTAAAAATATATATATTGTTTATTTTTATTTCATGTGGTCCATTCTTTATCAATACAAATAAATACTAAGTGAAAATAATTTACAACATGTATTGACTTGGTGTTCTAAGACTTGTCCACCTGACTGGTGCACCACTCAGAGACAAGACGAGCCACTCCGGCCACCTTCAAGCATTCCAGATCCATCGGTTTCATTTAAATATGTTGTAAATGTTGATTAAATGATAGCAAAACCTTCACATTTGAGTGATAGCTTGAGTGATAGACACTCCAGGATACGAAATAGGCTGAAATGTATTAAAATAACTTTCAATTTATAAGGGAGCTAAAATAAATTCACAACATGTACTGACTTAGGGTTAGATTTATCAGGAGTTGGTTGCTTATAACAAGGACACACAGTAAAACAGGGTGATTTAAAAGAATACCACAAACTTCGGGTTGATGTCACTTTGACACTGAGTTCATTCCGCTGTGGCGACCCCTGATTAATAAAGGGACTAAGCCGAAAATAAAATAAATGAATTAACTTGTTTACTGAAAAAAAAACTTTAAGTGCTCTTCACATTGATTAATTACCCAAGGTTCCATACTGTTTCTTTAATTAAATACAGATTTTTTTAAAGTCGTGGTATTCTTTTTGAATTGCTCTGTATTACTGATATTATAATAATGCAGGCTACATCTAATACATCACTGAATTATATTTTTCAACATGTATATGGATTGTTTTCTGTTATACAGATATGTTTCTAATAGCTAGTGTTTGCATCACCCCTGAATATGCAATATTGTTATTGATCCATAGATTTCAAAATCATGAAGTTTGCAAGAAAAATACTGTTGACTGCATTTTGGTAAGCAGTATTTTGAGCTAATTCAGTTGATAAGCAATGTTCATGGATATTGACATGCACGCATACTGTACTACAGTGTGTATGTGTTCTCTCGAACATGCACACACATGCCCTCTATAATGCACCATTCCTGGCATCTTAAGCTGCTTAAAGAAATAGCTCAACCCTCAAAGTTGTTCCAATCCTCTATACATTTCTTTATTCTGCAAAAGTCAATATATCAATAACCAATAAGAAATAGGTGCTAATGTTTCCTACTATGGCAGTAAATGAGTGGCAAGATCTGATTGGTTACTGACATTCTTCCAAATATCTTATTTTGAGTTTGGCGGGACAAATTAGTTTATTTGGATTTGGAACAACCTGAGGGGGAGCAAAGTATGGAAGAATTGTAATTTTTGGGTGACCCATTATTCTAACACGCACACACCCACACACACATGCCCACGTGAAAGCATGAAAGTTATATTGCGATTAGTATGTTTATAAGAGAGCCTAGCAAACAGAACTTTTTCCCAACTTTTGTCCAGGTTTTCTGAAAATTATGAACAGACAGTACTTTAATGTACTAATGTTCTCAAAATTAAAGTACAAAAGCGATTGATTGATCTTTCCCCAAACCCTAAAACATTTGTCTATTTTTTTCAGTTGCTGTTGTTTAATTTTTTGTGATTTAACAAGAAGATATTCCGAATAATGTGGATAACAAGACAGTCGCTGGTTTCTGTTGACTTCCATAGCATAGAAGAAATAAAAATCAATAAAAATAAGTAAATAAAAAATATTGTCTTTTATTTTTAGCAGAGGAAATAAGTTCATTACTTTAGGTAAAGTACATTTTGAACTTTCAAAGAACCTGCAGACATGTTTTCCTTTTTTATGAGAGAGCATTTGTAAATATTCTTAAAAAAATCTTTTAATTTATTAATTTAGGAAGAATATATTTTCATTTTGTTCTAATATAATTTCCTTTATCCTATATACTATTAAACTTAAATAATTTGTAATAGCCGGGCGATGCGTTGGCGCAGTAAAGTGCTGTCGCCTCACAGCAAGAACGTTACTGGTTCGAGCCTCGGCTGAGTCAGTTGGAGCTTCTGTGTGGAGTTTGCTTGTTCTCCCCGTGTTCACATGCAGTACAGGTAAATTGGGTAGGCTTAATTGTCTGTAGTGTATGAGTGTGAATGAGCATGTATAGATGTTTCCCAGAGATGGGTTGCAGCTGGAAGGGCATCCACTGCGTAAAACATGTGCTGAATAAGTTGGTGGTTCATTCCGCTGTGGTGACCCCGGATTAATAAAGGGACTAAGCCAAAAAGAAAATGATTGAATTTGTGTTAGCCATAACATATTTTTTCAGTTTTTTTTGTTCTAATATAATTTCCTTTAAACTGTAAAATATGTAGAAATACAAAAATATTAAAAACCCAAATATAAATAATAATAATACATTTTGTTTTCAAAAATTAGGTAATTCTTCCAGGATATTTAATATTCCGTATTTCCCCTTATGTCCACAATGTGTCATCTTTCATTTGATGAAAATTAATTTAGACAGGAATATATTATTAGGAAAATATATTTTAATTTTGTTCTAATATAATTTCCTTTATTCTTTAAACTGTAAAATTTGTAGAAAAACTAAAATATTATTAACACAAATCATAATACTAACAATATGTTTTGTCTTTTTCCCAGTATATTCAACATTCCGTATTTTCCTTTACGCCCACAGTGTCGCTCTCATTCGATTTCTCACTGAGCGAAAATGTTTAGCTTCAACCACAGGGTGGCAGTATAGGTTAAAGGAACGATTCACCCAAAAGCAAACCGAATTGTTTGCTGTCATTGCCCTTTCTGTGCATTGCATCCAACGTTTTGGTTAATCAAAGTAACAATAATGAAGTGCTTAAAGTGATGAAATTACATAAAATGACCAAAATTTTCAGTGAACTCTCCTTATTCTAGCTTTGACATGCTAGTATATATTGTAGCCTATTCATTTATCTTGTGTAAATGTATAAAAACCCCTTTAAACATAATACAAATGACAAAATAACCAATACAAACTGTAAAGATAAACATCCAGAAATTTAATGCATTCGTTAAAAAAATAATAATAATAATGAAATAAAGCCAAGAAGGGCACTGCGGTCGAGAAAGGGACACACTCACACCTAAAGCATTCTGGATGTGTGAGCCACTAGACACAGTTCGGGAAAGAGAGAGAGAGAGAGAGAGAATTAAATACATTCCACGATATTAGGAACAGAAACCTGGATCGATATTCAATCCAGCTAAAAGGTGAGGCTTTTCTTTAAAGTTCTGTCCTCTCTGTATACAGTTCATACTTAAAAAAACAATACTTCAGTTGTTCATCCATTTCGAGAGCATCATATAGAGTTCTGGTGAGCACAAAGAAAAAAAATACAGCTTTACATGTTTTACTTACTATGCACAAACCAATTTAATCATAAAAAAAAGAATAAAAGAAAACAAAGAGAACAGAAAAATGGCAGTCCGAGAGAGAGATACTCTATGTACAAGCCCTGAGGTATGTTCCCTCCTCAGCGAAATGTTAGTGTTTGTGTGTAAGATGGTGAGGGAGACAAACAACATGAAAACAAGTGTGTAACAGAACAAGGCAATTCCTTGATCTACAAGTGCAACTGTGCATCATTGTCTTTATCTGGAAAGGGAACATGTATAAACTGTACACATCTTTACAAACTGTACAAGTCCTATTATAGGAATAAAATGGGTCCATTGGAGCCTCGGCGTGAGGATGGATCGGAGGTTATCTGGGTGATATGGGGGCTGTGGAGAAGGAGCCGGAGTTTCGGGGTGAGGGGAAGGGAGAGGAGGGCGAGAGGCGTCGAGGGCTGCACAGGTCACCATTGTGGAGCTTCCACAGCAGCTCCTCGTTCTCCATTGACAGCCGTTTGTTGACCTTTGACTCTTTCTGTAGGGTCTGTTGAAGCATGGCCTGCTCCGTGGAGAGTTGCCTACAGTCAAACAGGAAAAATTAATAAGCATTAATCGTGAAGTTCTAAGATTTGACAGTTGATGCAATAAATAAAATGGCAGGCTGGATACTAGATAGGAGAAGATGATTAGGAGAAGTTTAATAGGCTATTACACCTGTGTGCAGCAATTATTGTTTTAAAATATTGCCAGATAAAGTTGACATTGTATATTATTTTGAAAAGCAACAACAACAACATTAAATGTCCTTTGAAGTGTTTTGAAATGTGCATTTTTATTTGATGTTTGTTCGTAATCTCAACTGCAAAAGGAATAGAAGGCGGGACATAGTGTAGTTCCACCTCTTTTTTAAAACAGCCAATAGTGTTTTGTTTTATCACAGCTTTGTCAATGAGAGTGGTTGAGCCCAAGCGCATCAAATGACAAGCAGCTGAGAAACGTCTTGAAGGGGCAGGGCATGTCAGATACTAGAGAGCATTTGATTGGTTATGATGTGATGATGAGAAACTGTAC